CAAAAACTCCCAAGTTCTTCGAGGATGGAATCCGGGATTTGCGCAGAAGATGGGAAGAAGTCATAGATACTAATGGAGAATACCTTTCGAATTGAAAGCTCTTCTTTTGTGTTTTTTTGAAATAAATGATTTGTTACATAAACGCGTCATTATTAAGTTGCCAACCTAATAGTTGACGTTACAAAAGAAATTCTGGTAATCATTTGTGCAATCATCGATAGTGAAAACTTCTCAAGGGAATTGCCGTTTCTTAAGTAGTCTTGTAGCTGTCTGAGGAAAAGGGAAAACCTATATTAAGCCATCTATAAATCGATAAGTAACTATGCAAAAATAAATTCGAATTTGGCTTCCTAAGCCTCAGAGCTTCATTTGTCAGTTTAACGAACAATTTTGCCTCGTTCAACTTGCCTTTCTGTAATTTTTAAGCATCTTACTGCAGTAAGACTGAATTTTTGCGAAACTGAATTTTTGGCAAAACTGAATTTTTGAAATTTGAGCTGTGAATGCTTAAAGGCGTTGCTATCACAATTACTGTTAATTTTAGAATTGTCAGCAACAAATGAAATTGTGCACAATCAACTAGTAAGTGTTCAAAAAAAAGCAGCTCCAACTAATTTTTTTCATAAATCGTATCCATTTGGCCTTGACTATTGTATGATTCCAAAAACTGGAACAATGATTACACAACAAATTCTTTGCGATATCATGAAGGATTATAAAGGGATCTCTTACAAACGGGAATTCTCGCAGAAAGTTTGGTTTCTCAAGTTGGTTTTCTTCGGGAAGATGTTGAAGAAAAGTTTTATATTCATTTTAGTGACTGTAAACTTAATGGAAATTACTTAAACACATCAGTTGTAAAATGGGAGAAACCAAATCCACCAATAAAATTTGCGATCATTCGAGAACCGATTGAACGCTTTGTCTCGTTTTATGGTCACTTTTGTACGTGAGTTTTTAAGAGATACTAAAAAATGATCTAAGAAATACAAAAAACAGATATTTTCTTATTAAAATTCGTTTAAAGAACTAGTTTCCGAAAGATATCGAAAAGGAAAGAACATACGATCAGAAGAATTACAACCTTTTTATTATAAAGCCAATCCCCGTTTAATTACACCTTTATGTATCTTTAGTAACCCTCGATTTTCGCTGACAGATTGAGCTTATTTAAAACTCCTTTTCAAACATTTAACTTCTGATCGTATGTTCTTTCCTTCAAGATATTCAGAAAGAGCAACGGAACATTCACCAATTTGCTGTGTGGATTGATTTTCTAATGTTACCCTATCACATCATGAGTGGATATCTATTATTTACCATTGCGATCTGGTTAAATGGATTGCTGATATTCTTGGTTCGGTATTTGATTTCCTAATCACAAACTATTTATCGTTACCAATTGGAGCTCTTGTATAATACCGAACCAAGAATATCAGCAATCCATTTAACCAGATCGCAATGGTAAGTAATAGATATCCACTCATGACGTGATAGGGTAACATGGTAGTTTGGATAGTAACCTAAATCGTGAATGGATCAATCAAAAGGTTAGCTTGAAAATGCGCAAAACACAATTGTTTGTGGAATTTTTGAACTTTGAACGTTTCCCATCAAACCAGGAAAGACAATCAAATTTTAATCTCACAAAGACAATCCAAACTTTTTGCGATTTGAAACGAGGAAAATGAAGCAAGAAAAATCACGCTGAGCTCATGTGATTTGGCCAGCCTATCCAGTTGTAAAGTAAAGTCCCTTTTAGTAAGTAAAGCTTTAATTTTACTCGAAATGATTTAAACATGAACTGTTTAATGAAACAATTCTTCTAAACCACAATTTAAAGTGCTCAATTCAATAAAGTACGTCGGGTTTTGCTGTTTTCTTTTCTTCAAACGAGTGTCTGATATTTTTCCCCATTTATCTCCTTGTTCCTCAATTGGTTCACTCACTCGACTAATTACTGTTATTTGCGCGTCGTTGCGTTTTTTGACTGATCAAGGGAAAAAACTTTTTTCTAGGAAAAGCTTAGAATTTTGTCGGTACTCTCACGGAGTTTAATTCATTGAAATAGTGATTTTTATTGCTTCATTTTCCTGAGTTCAAATCGAAAAAGGTTTTGATTGTCTTTGTGAGATCAAAATTTGATTGTCTTTGTTGGTTTGATGATTGGTGAGGTATCAATAAACTTTGAGCACTTTAAATTGTGGTTTAGAAGAATTGTTCATTAAACAGTTCAGGTTTAAATCATTTCGAGCAAAGTCAAAGCTTTACTTACTAAAAAGGACTTTACTTTACAACTGGATAGGCTGGCCAAATCAGCTCAGGGTGATCTTTCTTGCTTCATTTTCCTCGTTTCAAATCGCAAAAAGTTTGGATTGTCTTTGTGAGATCAAAATTTGATTGTCTTTGTTGGTTTGATGTTTGGTGAAGCGTCAATTAACATTTTGATTTCGGATTTCAACAATTCAGAAATTGCTTTTCATGGCATCATAGTTTGATCTTCAGATTTTAAATTCAAAGTTCTGCTTTGTGCATAAAAATTCACCTGTTTTCGCTTTTGATAGATTTGCTCTTTCCTATCAATAGTTAAAGGCGGAAATGAAATAGGTTAACTGTTGGAATTTGAATTAAACTTTACTATTAGCTAATATTATTTTTTGTTAGATATTCTCTCCATTAGATACAGACTCATTAGAAAGAAGCACAAAATTGGCACCACTTTCTACTTTAACTTTACCAGATCAAAGATCTACAGAAGCCTATATTGCCGCAGGATAATAAAGATTTGATCAGGCTTGATGCCAGATGCCAATCCAATGTCTTTAAGTGAAATCTTTATACAATTTATTGTACAAATCTCTTTGTCTTTATAAAATTTATTAAATGAAATAGGTTAACTGATGAAATTTGAATTAAACTTTACTATTAGCTAATATTATTTTTTGTTATCATTGAGTCATAGACAGTTTCTAACAAAAATGAGTTTAACACGTGCTGATCGGAAAATTGAGGTGGGAAACTAGAAAATGGGTCTAGGAATTCGTTTACCCCCACTTTTTCTAAGTATTTTCTTTGTAGCTTAGATGGGAAACGTTCAAAGTTCAAAAATCCCACAAACAATTGTGTTTTGCGCATTTTCAAGCTAACCTTTTGATTGATCCATTCACAATTTAGGTTACTATCCAAACTACCATGCTACCCTATCACATCATGAGTGGATATCTATTACTTACCATTGCGATCTGGTTAAATGGATTGCTGATATTCTTGGTTCGGTATTATACAAGAGCTCCAATTGGTAACTATAAATATTTTCTGGTTGGAATGGCTGTTTATGAGACGATCTATGCTGCATCACATGCCTTCATTTCACCGGTAAATGAGCAAAAACAAAGCCAAAAGAGTTCTCGAGCTAGGCTCTTTAGTTCATGTGAATCTTTGTAATATTATATGCAATTTTCTGCTAAAAATTGAAAACAGGAACGATTAGTATTGTTGAATTGCAAAGAGCACGTATAAAGGTTTCAGTTTGAATCCGCCAGATCCAAATTCTTGCCTAGTACTTGCCATTCTGATGGCCACAAGTCTTAAGCCAACACTATGCTTGTCAAAAACACGCCGTTTGTGTGCAATTCTTGCTTTGATCTGCTCTAGAAGATTCATAAGTACAAATTCTTTATTAAAATGGCGTGCTCCTTTGAGCTCAATTTAGCTAGAGATTAGATTATCAAGTCTCAAACAAGTTAAACACAAGCTCAATGTACAGGGTGACCGCGAATTATAGCGACCCACTTCTGAGGGTCTAGCTCAGCGAGAACTCAATGAATCCGTATGAAATTTTTCGACCTGAGTTTTGAGTATGTCTCCTCTAGCCAAGCCCATTTTCTAACTGATTAGTGTTTCTAGAATCTTTTTATGATCTTATAAAGTTGAGAGTCGCCGTAGACCTGGCGAAAAACCCAATTTAAGGTCTTTGAAAGCCGTTTTTGGTGTTATTTAATGAATATGATCACGCTTAAGACAAAAAAAGAGCAAACAGATCAAACACCTTATAGAAATTCAATTTTCTGTCATCGAATTTGAATCCTAACAAAATGTGATTAGGGAGACCACTCAAAAATTAGAAAAAAATCGGTTGATATCTTTTTGAAAAAACATTATTGTTAGTATGGAGTCTCCTGTAGCCAAGCCCATTTCTAACTGACCGGTGCTTCTAGAATCTTTATCTATACCTGGCGAAAAACCCAATTTAAGGTCTTTGAAAGCCATTTTTGAGGTTATTTAATGAATATAATCACGTTTAAGCAAAAAAAAGGAAAAAAAAGAGCAAACAGATCAAAGACCTTATAAAAATTCAATTTTCTGTCGTCGAATTTGACTAAATTGCTGCTTCCAAACAAAATGTAATTAGGGAGCCCACTCAAAAATTTTAAAAAATCTGATGACAGCTTTTCCACAAAAAAACTTATCGTTTTTTCTTCTTGATTTGATGTTATTTATCGAACAAACACGAGGAATCTGTAACATTTTAAGAAAAAACTATTTCTCAAAAACCTAACTCCAAAAACGGGCTTTCAAAGACCTTAAATTGGGTTTTTCGCCAGGTGTACCGCGACTCTCGACTTTGTAAGATGATCTAAAGATTCTAGAAGCACTAATCAGTTAGAAAATGGGCTTGGCTACAGGAGACATACTCAAAAATGACCCCCGAAAATTTCATACGGATTTATTGAGTTCTCGCTGAGCTAGACCCTCAGAAGTGAGTCGCTATAATTCGCGGTCAGCCCGTAGTTCTAAAGGTTCCAAATGAGTGATTGAAGCTTACACTTTTATCCTAGCTGCTGTACACCCAACCTGGGATTCTCGTCGTTATTCCCAGCAATCCACTACTTGATGCGATTCCTAAAATAAACTCCCAATTCTTGATCATTTACATGGAAAGCGCTTATGCGGCAACAATGATCATGCTCGCTTCCCATTTTCTTTATCGGTATATCACAATGTGTAGGTGGGTGGCATATCTGACAACTTGGTTACTATAAAATATTTTAGAGACCAGTGGATGTTCTTATTTGAAACGGTGCACGGACTTTTTCTATCGGGTTCTGTGATGTTTTCATTAACTTTTTTGTGGGGATTGATTTCTGGGGTCTTTCTTAGTCCAACAACAGAGCGATCGAGAAAGGTTCTTGAAGCTTTAGTTTCGAACCAAGGACATATCTTTTAGCTGGACCCTATATTGAGGCTTCACTTCAATCGGACAACCAAAGAAACAGCATACACGTTAGTCGAATATTGGGTGAGTTGGGCTTTAGATTGGAGCGTGGCAGTTTGGAAGGGCCTAGAATTGAGGCTGATTCTCCCTAAAACTAAATCGTTGGCAGTTGGGTGTAGCAATATAATTGTTGATGAATTTTCATTTCAAAATGATTAAAGGGAATCGGTTTATCAATAATTTATCGGGTATTAGCGAACGGAATCAACTTTTCATTTCGTTTCAGCCTTGTGTATTTGGGTAAGCTTTGGTTTAAAAAACAATAAAATTTCTAGCAAAATAGCAGTCAAATTTAAAGCAAAAATGGCTCCCAGAGATTCCACAGGGAAGCGCTTTATACCGGAGCGGTTTGCCATCACGCGGCCGCACAAAGAACACCTCGACAGTTTACACAGGGATTCTTTTTTGCTTTTAATTGTTACAAAAAGAAGATTTTGCCTGCAGATAGCTGTAAATTTGTGCTTGGGGCTTTCGGGGTCGGAGAATCGATTGGAGCTATTCATTTTATTAAGTCTACCAAGCGGAACTCGGGTTTAATTAGTCTAAACTTTTAGAGGAAGTTGGAAACTTGGAGAGGAGATTCGCAGCTTTCAAACAATTTGGTTTTAGTTAGAATCAAGCATCGGTCCTAATTTCGATCCCTCTTTTAAGTACTGAAGGATTAATCCTAAAGTTAGATGTTCTACTTGTCCTAAAGTCCTACTTGTTAGATGTCCTACTTGTTAGATGTTACTTGTCATAGAACTTACTTTCTTTAGGACATCGAAACCGGAGCTTTCGTTCCGTCGACCTGGATTGCTCTGGCGCTCATCGCTGCAATAACGGCAACATGTTTTGGCTGTATTTTCTATTGTGGCTATTACACTTATGCAATGATGACTTCCCATCAATTGCATCTGAGTCGTCAATTGAAACTCTTGCAAAAGCAGCTCTTTCGTAGTCTGATTGTTTTGGTGGGTTTCACTTAAAGCTATTTTCCTAATTAACAAAATTCCAGACCATGGTACCTGTGATTACTATTTATTTACCGGCACTTTGTGTGTTTTTTGCACCCGCCTTGGGGATTGGAGTTGGCGATTTGGCGATGATAACTCCACTTGGTGGCTCGTTAAATCCATTGATTGATCCAATCGTTATTATTTATTTTATTGGTAAGTGTGGGCTATCCGTTTAAACTGTATTGAAGAATATGATTGTGAACCTGGCCACAAATAAGAACTCGTGAAGTATTTAGGTTACTAAAGTAAATAGATCCAAACTAGAACTATATCTGTTCTTGTGGGTTTTTGCTTCAGGTACTACATACTTATTTTCCTTGCTAACAGATCTATTATCAATTTTCTCAGCCTTGTTTATTATAACATAACTCCAGACTCTTCAGGTGACTATCGTCGAGGTGCTCAGTATATTTTATTTGGAAAAACGTCAACGATTAGACCTACTCAATCCTCTCGATTAGATACAGACTCATTAGAAAGAAGCACAAAATTGGCACCACTTTCTACTTTAACTTTATCAGATCAAAGATCTACAGAAGCTTATATTGCCGCATGATAATAAAGATTTGATCAAGCTTGATGCCAGATGCCAATGCAATGTCTTTAATTGAAATCTTTATACAATTTATTGTACAAATCTCTTTGTCTTTATAAAATTTATTAAAGATCGGTGAAAATTTGGTGTTTATTTATCGGTGATTAGTACTTATTTCATAGAATCACAGATCACAGATAGACAGTCACAGATAGATAGTCACAGACCACAGAATCACAGATATCTAGTAACAGTAAGCTTTTCCGGCGAAGCAATAACCGCCCCGTTCTTGACCGAGATTTAAGCAGCGGTTGTTCAGCTGTCCGACCTGTAAAATAATTAGCCATAATTCAAAAATAGTTTGTAAATCAAGTGTTTGTTGGTTTCAAAGCTTTAAATAACTCACTGTCCAACTCCAATTTCAGCTGGGCTGATAAACCGAGTTGGCTTCGCCTTCAGCTTTTGGCAAGGCCATTGACATGCCTAAATTGGAGAGTTTTTGAAAGCATTTGTACATCAAACAATTTAAAGTTTTTCGTGGTTTGGTTTCAGGTTTCAAGTTAATTATCAGAAGCTGACCAGGTAATTAAATTCTAAATAGTTTCATAGAATTAGTCATTTGACTTTCGATAATCCAATCCAAATGAAATTTAGTTAGACTTGAACTGCTTAAAATGACAAACATTGAGAGGAGCAGTGGCAAACTAACCGATCAGCAAGAATGCGATGAGGAAAATCGATGTAAAACGCATTTTGGTGTTTCTAAATTACTTAAACTATGCCAGTATTCAGAACAGAAAATTTTTAATGAGCAAAAACAAGGTCGAAATTTTGATTAAATATAATAACACTGAAACAGTTTAATCAAGACAAATAAGTATCATTTTATCAGATTTTATCTATGTTATAGACTAAAAAAGAATAGAGATATCGGATCCCAACAAAGCCCAACAAAATGGAACTGATCATGGCTCTATTTCATGATAATCTCTGCACTTTTCTTGCCAACTCCACCTCTTTTTCTCTAATTTTTCCGAATTTCGCCTCAGTTGCCCAAGTTTTTAGCTCACATGGAAAGATAAGAAAGTGTAAGCATCTTGAAATAGATTAATCAAAGTTGAAAGAACTGAATCTGGAATTGAAAGACAATGATACTGAAACGAGCCTGTCTAGACTTACAAGGGAAGGATGATTGGGTCCCATGGACTATGATGTCTAGACCATTTTTCTAGACCATTTTTTCGATGATATCTAGACCATTCGACGCAAAATTTTACGCTGATTCTAATGATGTAAAAATTAGCTGCCAAATGGTGCGTAATCACCGCCAAACTGGCATAAAAGTATTGAGCCGATTTTTCTCTTTTTTTTCTCTCTTTTTAAGCCGATTTTTTTTAACACCGTTTTATCGGTGGCCGAGTGGTTGTACAGCAAGCTGAGGCTCAAGAATTCAAACCCGATTCGTCTCATTTTTTTTTGCTTTTTCAACTCCTAATTGTGATTTTTCCTATCTTTTTTCCTCTATTTTGGAATAGTGAATATTTCTCTTCGTTATTTTCATTCCTACCAAACTTTTGATATGCTTATTTGTATGGAATTTTGAGTTTGCATCACTTTTTATTGTGTAATCATTTTGTATTGTTGATTTGTGATAAATTTGCATTTAAATGTTTTAATTTGTTTGATTTATTTAGTAATGCAGCAGCTAATTTTTACATCATTGGAATCAGCATTAAATTCTGCGTCGAATGGTCTATATATTATCGGAAAAGGGGCATTAGGGCCTAACCATCATTTTCTTGTTAGTTTTTATGGCATTTCTCATCCGTATCAATCTTCTCTGTGTTTGAATGACGTTTGAATCCTTGCTGGCCATCGAAATACCAAAAACAGCTAAGCAAACATTGTCTATTTTCAAACGACCAGACCTTTTATGAGCAAAACCTTTCAACCCACGCATATAGCTTTGAACTGAAAGATAGAGAAACTGGGCCTATCATATGATTTGTTACGAGTTAAATATTTGAAGAGCTGTGTGATTCAAAATATAAAAGTCTTCCGGGAAACGGGAGGATCATAATTTGTTTGTTAACTTCATAATGCGAACTCTTTTCGTTCTCGCCATTTGCCTTGCCGTTGTTTTAGCTAAAAAGGTTTGTAAAGCTGGAAAAGTTCGAATTATAAATACTGTGCTTTTTAGGCTGACAAACACTCTCATGGAAAATCGAGTGAATCAGTGCGTTAAAGGCCATAATTTAAAAATTCTTTCATTGTTTAAAGGAATGTTTGAAAAGTTGTATGAAATCTAAAAGTCTTGCGGAAAACGGGAGGATCTACGGTGCCAAAAATACTCTTATAATAATAAGCCGTGTCCTATTACTCCCCTAAAGGGCTACCTGCGCTACTTCAGTACTCCACCTTCTAAACCATGCTCTTCTAAACCACCTTCTAAACCTAGTAAAGCGTCCTATTACAGTACTCCAACTACCATACTCAATTTTTTAACCCATATCCTAGTACAGTACTACCTGATCTTAAAACGTCTCGTATTACCGTACTCTCTTATAATAATAAGCCGTGCCCTATTACTGCCCTAACTTACTCCCACTTCTTAGCACGTATTATGACTTCAATATTATACTCGAATGTACATAGTAGCATTGTGGTCACCCTAAACAGCTACAATAATATGTAAGCTATGTATAGGATGTTCAATATTTATGGGAACCAGTAGATTACCGTATTCTCTCTAATAGTAGTGCACCCCGCTGAGCCGAGTTGATGACTATTTTACGGTTTTCACAGAAGCTCAACACTCTAATCCCCCACAAGATCTCATCGTCAGCTACATTTTCTGACCCCACATCGATAGGTTTTGATAAGCGGTTTTCGAAATTTCGAGCATTTCGAGATTTCGAGCAATTTAGGCGAAGCTTAGGGAACTAGAGAGAAAGGGTACTAGGTTTAGAGCTCATTTTGTACAAGTTTAATGCTAAAAAGGAAACACACTTATCGATACGTCCAATGTTAACAACTTTAAGTTATTTTTTTCAAAATTATTGCCTTTTGCGCTGTTGCTTGTCTAGAAACCCCTGTGGAAAGCGTCTACTGTGGCATAAATTCGGCGATCGGATAAATTGAATTTGTCACACACTCTCGTTAAGCTTTCTTGGAAGGACCAAAACTGAAATTTGATTTTCACATTTTTAATGTCCCGTAGATTTGAAAACTGTTAAATAGTTAAGAGTTTCTCATCGTTAAACAAGGAAAACTTGGTGAAATTTGGTAAAATTCTGACTCCTTTTGGTGAAATTTGGTGATCGAATTCCGGTGAATCGATTTCTGCAATATCAAATTTAGTGAACTGTAAAAATAATCTAAAAGTTGAGTTTGTTCCAACTCCTATGCAATGCTTTCTTGACGTTTTTTTTTCATAAACCAATTTTGAGAGCGCTAAACGCCCTGCGAGTTCAAAAGTTTCCATAAATATTGAACACCGTGTATAATAAAGAAGTAAAGAAATTGGCAAGAAAAAGTAGATCTCCGGAGAGGGGTGAAGCCTCTGTTTTCTGGGCAATTGCTCTAACCACTGAGCTATCCGGTACCTTAACTTCTCAAGAGAAAGAAGAAAAGCCAATGAGGAAAACCTCAAAAGCGACGTGCGACCTCAAAAGCTTCCATTAATATTGAACACCCTGACGCAAATGTACATAGTAGCACTAAACAGCTACAATAATATGTAAGCTAGTACCAAGCCGTAGAGGACGTGAATAAGTAGATTGGGTTTATTAAAGCATGCAAAAAGATTTCTTGACAATTTCTCGTTGTCATTCAAGTTCGATTGATTGTGCCACCGGCTTTAACACAAAAGTTCATTTTCAGAAAAGCAAGGAAAGCCACTCTCACTCGAGCGAATCCCATGAGAAAACAAAGAAACCAATGAGAACGACAAGATTGATGGGCTCAACTGGAGTACCAACCGGCGCTCCATCTACAGGCCCATCTGATTCGACCACTCAAACTCCATTGACTGACAATGCTGAATCGACTACTGTATCCGTCAGTGATATTATTGTCACGAGTGCTCCTCTTGCTAGGGGTTAAGCACTGTCAATGCACAAAGTAATAAAGATTTTGATGGATGCAGTTTGTCACTTCATTTCACTGTGAGAAAGTGAAAACGAAATGCTAAACAAAATTCATAGCAATAAACATAAAAATTAGATAATTTGAAGAAAGAGATTGTCTTTTATAATTTAAAAACGATAAGAAACAGAAAGACTTTAATCAATTTAAATGCTGTGATCGAATTGAGAACGTAAAGAGATAAAACCCTCTGTAAAATGCTTAAGAAAAGTTCTAGTCGTTTCGATTTTTTGTCTTGTTGATTTCTTTGGCGCTGGCCTTGAGGCAATCAACTGTAAGAATGGAATAATCGTCTAAATTTGTAACAAATAACTTTGATCTTTTTATAACCTGACAAGCCGGGGTTTTTCAAAAGGTCAAGGCCAGGCTAAAAATGTGTTTTCAGGTCATTTTTACTTTGATTTGCATAAAAAGTTTAAAAAAACTACGGTGTTTAGAAGTATCTTTAGAAGTTTTGTGACTAAAAACAGCGTTTTTGAAGTATTTTAAAGTATAGAACTCAACTTTTCAGCACTAGCAGATTATGAGGCTTCAGGCTATAAATCTAATTTTTCAGCTTTCAGCACTCATATGCCATTTTTTTTAAGCTTACATTTACATAAGTATTTTAGAAAAAAACTAAAGAAAGAAAAATTGTAGAAGGAAATTGTGAAAAAAACTTGGCAAATTGTCTTCAAATTCATACAAATTCCAATAGGATTCAGCTTATCGTAAATACTGTAATAGTACCCCACCCCCCTCGTACAGTCGCGTAGTCGGAAAAGTTTTTTAGTATTTCATTTTTTGCAAAGCACCCGTACTTTCAAAAAATGCGTGTTTGATATCAAAAAATAGCCCTGAATTTCAGCTATTTTTTGATACCTAAGCGCGCATTGTAGCATAAACCAGTGTCAAGAAAAACTCGCTCAAAGCTAGACTACGCAACACTCCGCACCGTCATTATGGGAGTGGGGTACTGTTACAGTATTTACGGTATGTTCTGCCTGCCAACAGCTTGCAAACCTGTGAATTAGTGCTTAAGTATATGTCGTAGCCGATTGTGAATGAAATTTTTCGATAAATCTTTCTACAGTGCGTTTCAAATTCTTAAACGCACCCTCTAAAATAGCGAATTTTGCATTTTGACCACCTCTACAACTATTAATCTTTTTTCTATTAGAAAGAGCATGTCTTAAAACCTAAATAACACGAAGAATAAGCATACTGTAAAAAACAAAAATTTTCAAAATAGAAACTTTTTGCTAAATCAACCGTTTCAAATTCTTAAACGCACTCTGAAAATCTTTTTATTTATCGACACAAATTAAAAATCAAAGGTAAAAAATCAAAACTAATAATCTGTACACGCACCAGAACGATTAATTACTTGAAAAATGCGGTCTGGCATTGAATTGATGAGGTTTTGAAGAGCAGAGACGTCGAGATTGCGCCAGGCCGAAAAAATTGCTGTTTTAAGTGTAGAAACGTCTTGAAACTGACGATGATTCTTGTAGACATCTCGGACAAGTATTCCCCATAAATTTCTATCGGATTGAGGTCAGGAGACTGAGCGGGCCAGTCCAAAGTTGCAATGTTGTTGTTTTTCAACCAGTCTCGGGTATCTCCGGCTCGATGAACTGACGCGTTGTCGTGTTGAAACACATGAGGAACGCCTGGATGTAGGTGCAAAAAAGGCAGCAAGCAATCGTCCAAGATGTCTATATAGTCAAAACGATTCATACGATTCGAAACCATCTTCAGAGCGACCGTTCCATCAGCACAAAAGGCGGCCCGAACCATCACAGAACCACCGCCAAAGTTTCGAGTCCCAAACACCATCGAATCACGTCGAAGATCCCTCCAATAGTAGACAACGCCATCGGGGCCATCCAAATTCCATTTCTTCTCATCGGAAAAGATCACCTAAAGGCAAAAAAATAATAAAACATAATCGGATTTCTAACCATAGACCAATCCTGATTCATATGAGCCTTGGCGAACACCAATCGGGCTTCCTTGTGCAAAAGCGTCACAGCCGGCTGCTTGTTCAACAAGTGTCGATCGATATGTGGATTTTCCGTGACGGCTCGCCAAATTGTCGACTTCGAAGCGTCGATTTTCAGTTCCGTTTTCACTTCATTGATTGTTTTTCCGTTGATGTTGTTCACAATATGGCGTCTAGCTCGCGGTGTAAGCTTTGGTTTTGGTCCTGGCTTCTTCTTTGGTGTAGAAACGAACTCGGACTTTATATAATTTCGCACGGCAGAGTCGGATCGGCCCAAATTTTTTGCGATTTTCCTTATTGAGTCGCCAATCCTCAAACGGGCATCAATCTGGCCTTTCTCATAATCCGTGAGCAGCTTTCCGTGTGCCATTTATCTGGAAATTAACAAAAATTATAAATTTAATAAAAAAATATGCACAACAAAACGAAAAATTTCAAATAACAACAGCAAGGGCGGGTGCGTTTAAGAATTTGAAACGGTTGATTTAGCAAAAAGTTTCTATTTTGAAAATTTTTGTTTTTTACAGTATGCTTATTCTTCGTGTTATTTAGGTTTTAAGACATGCTCTTTCTAATAGAAAAAAGATTAATAGTTGTAGAGGTGGTCAAAATGCAAAATTCGCTATTTTAGAGGGTGCGCTTAAGAAGTTGAAACGCACTGTAGTAGAACAACCCTTTCATGTATGAGGACAATATTATATCATCCTGTAGCCAATTAAATTCTGCATCGATTGGTACCAAATTTGTGAGCTTAGATTAAAAATTACCGGCGCTACAACATTTCATTCAAAATCGGCAGGACCCCCGTAGCCGATTATGAATTTCAGCCGATTACGAATGAGTGGGTCTAGGAGCGTCCAACCATCAAGTATCTGGTATCATTCAACGCAGAATCATTAATAATTATGCTCAATTTTTAAAATTAGAAAGCTTTGATAAAAAGAAAAAAAACTAGAGCAAAAAACTGTTTGTTCAAGAGGAAACTTTGAGGCCCCATAATTTTTTTTCTTTTTATCAAATCTTTCTAATTTTAAAAATTGAGCATAATTATTAATGATTCTGCGTTGAATGATACCAAATACTTGCTGGTTGGACGCTCCTAGACCCGCTCATTCATAATCGGCTGAAATTCATAATCGGCTACGACATATAAATAAAGAAACTTTCAAGGTTTTTTGTGGATACTCTTAGCAAACTGATAAACATTATATAAAGGGCTTTCCTTGTCATTTAAGACTTGATTTTTGCAGGTTGCTATTCCAAAAATGAAGTTTCTGAATGTTTACTGGATGTGTGTTCTGTTGATTGGATTGATTTTCTTTTCTGGGTAAGTAAGCAAGTTGAAATTCTGTTTCAGTGATCATTTACTAACGAGCGAATGACCTAAACACAAGGCGATAATTTTTCGAGGAATAATTTTTTCTGACATTAAAACTACTCGATAAAGTAACAAAAAACTTCTGTGTAAAAAAGCAAAAAGTTTGATCAAAAGAGAGATCGAAACCGGGACCAAAAGTTTCAAATCCGACATACTATCGTCTGCACCGTCTGCTTGCTAAACGGCAAGACAAATCATAAGCGAAATCATAGATCCGACTTTTCGAGTAGATTCCCAAATTCATTCCAACTTCGAACGCTTGTTTCTCGGTCAATTCTGAATTTGGGCAAAAAATAACAACAGCATCGTACTCTCCATATCAAAAAGTTGTTTTATAACGTGGGCCCCCCAAAAATTATCACTTGTGTTTGGGTTATTCCCTTGCAAGTCTTTGCCAACAAATGTCTTAGAATAACGGCTGTGGATGAGACTTTTGACTTTTGACTTTTGAGAGACGCCCGATCTTCGTATAAGAATTACCCCATTGTAAGAAAACTTTACAGATCTAGTGCTTTAGATTTAGTTCCAATTATCTAGTAAATCTGATTTCAGACTGAAGAAAGAGGACTTCGTGAAACTGGGTAATCGGGTAATCGGAGAAAACCTTTCATAAACGTTTACGAGAATAAACTTTTTGTTTGAGAGCCTTGAATTTGCAAGATTTATACACAAAAAACAGCATATAATTTGTTGAATTGATGGGAATTTGACTTATCCTCTAGCAAGAGGAGCACTTGTTACAGTAACAGCGGCTGCAGATACTGTAGTGGTTTCAATTGTGACACTTGATGGAGCTTGAGTAGTTGATCCGGTTGATCCTTGCGAAGTGGATGAACTGACTGACCCACTTGTTGATCCAATCGATGAACTCATCAATCTCATTGTTGTCGTTCTCATTGGTTTCTTTGTCTTTTCATGAGATTCACTTGAATGAGAGTGGCTTTCACTGCTTTCACTGCTTTTCTGAAATCAAATTCAAAATTGAACATTCTAAAATCAAAAAGTTTGCAATTCTTGCCAAAATGGAGGTAAGACTTACTGATTCACTTGATTTTCTATGATTGTGTTTACCAGCCTGTAAAATAATCGTTAGTTGGGGAATTGTGATTTTCACAAACCTTCTTATGAGCCAAAACGACGACAAGGCAAATGGTGAGGACGAGAAGAGCACGCATTTTGAATGAAGGATTGGAATTGGCAAATTGTGATCTCTCCTTGAACTGTCGGCTTTAATAGTCTAGATTGTGCAGCTCCTTAAATATCAAGCCTCATGATACGCCCAGATTCATAACTTATTCGTCATTTTCATTCGCTGAGAACATATTTTGGTCTAACACGGCTTTGCGTGGGCTTCCACTCAAAATTTTTGTTTGTTTAGCTTTAATAAGTCTGATCAGGAAAACTTTTTCCGTAATTTCTTTACAGGGCCAGTGACTGAAACACTGTGTGAAAGAATCAAAGCTGTGGTAAACGGATAATGAGTTGGGCCCAGTATCCAGGATAGTTACGGCACGGTCTACACTGTCTGATACATTAAACATGGAGACCGCACTACCAGTCCTACAGAAAAATATCTACAATGTTATCAGAGCAAGAGGTGAGCTTTTCGTTCTGTTTTAAAAAAATATCTGGATAGGCCAATATTAGGCTGTGCAAAAAGTCTTTTCATTCCTTTTCATACTTCTGTTTAAAATCAACAAATGCACGAATTGAACGGTTTGTTTCATTAGAAAGGCCAATTATTTTCCTGCAAAATAACATTGAAAGGGGTTTGAAACAGTTTAAAACGATTTGAAACCGTTGAAACTTATGTCTGAATTCTTTTGAAAGCATGAAGTCGGGTAGTCAAAAAGGGCGACGGCTCAATAATGCGGTTTAGACACTTTAGCTAAGGAAACCAAAAAAAAACCTATAGCTAAGGAAGCTTAATATGTTAGTCGTGTACGTGTAGTAATCCTTTGAATTTGTTGATTCCAAAAAGTTTTGCTTCAAAAACCGTCTACTGATTGTTGACAATTTTTAAAAAGTTGTACAGAAACAAAATCTTTGCGCTTTTTGTTTTTCTCTTTTTTACATTATCGTTTGTCAAATCTCTGAGAAAAGGGGGAAGTGACTTCAATTTGGGAACGCATTGCAAAATTTGATTTAGCTCTTTTAAAATTCCGATCCTGTTCGACATTGATGACTGATCATCGTTCAAAACTTTAAACCTGTTTGTCGGAAACGCTTCTGAATATCCTTTTTTATCAGTTTCAGAAATGCATCTCAAAGTGTGCTTGGCTTTCGTCGGTTTGACTGTAGTTCACCGAATCGTTGGTTCACCAAGTTATCTTGTTCCCGGAGGAAATGAGTAAGTCTAAATTAACTTGAAAGTATCATTACTGAAAGTACCATTACTGTCTAAGTCTAAGTCATTGTCTAAGTCACATTTTGATAAATCGATCAAAATCTTTGCAAATGTTTCAGTTGGATCTGGGTCAGAGTAGTGGTTTTCCAAGAAAATAGAAAATGTTTATACACCAAAATTTTAAGCCTTTTGTAGAAAAAAAACAAAACTTTACAGTAAATCAAAGTTTAGACGGGCGAAACGTGGATTGGATGATTTCTGGGTTGAATGTGGAGTCGATGGGACGATCACGCTTCATTTAACTCGATTTCTCATCTACACTTGTGTGGTGTCTTCAGTGACCACCCACAATCCACTCTTCATCAGCGGACAGCTTGCCGGTGCCGGCTCAATCACTTTCGCAACTCCGACTTCTCTCCGTCTTCGCTCCGTCAACGTCTTCACTGTCAAACTTCAGAATCCATGTAAGTTTTGAACCTATGAAAATATACATAAATATATAGGTGTCGTAGCCGATTATGAATGAGTGGGTCTAGGAGCGTCCAATCGACGCAGAATTGAATTCGCTACAAGATGATATAATATTGTCCTCATACATTAAAGGGTTGCTCTACTAGAAAGATTTGCCAAAAAATTTCATTCATAATCGGCTACGACATAGGAATGTTTAATCAATGTTTTCAAATTGAAAGTGCATTGAAATTGGATTGAAATTTTAAAACGGAAAATGTGCTGGGTGCATCAAATCCTGTTTTCAAATAGCTTTGCCTAGAAAAAATTAAGAACCAGAACCAGATCTTGAATGTGAAATGTCCAGATACTAACATTTTAATAATTTTCAAGCAATAACTCATTTAATCTACTATATCAAGGAGGAGTCCGTCCGTCCGTCTGTACGGGCTTTTCTCGGGTATTGGAATAGGCAGCAACACGTTTTAGCCAATATCAATCCCCCAAATCTAAGCGGAATAAAACATAAAAAACACTGGCCTGAAGCATTTTTCATGCCTGTTTCTTTTGAGCAGAGTGATCTTGCCCCATCTTGCCTCCAGTATATCTTGCCATCAAAATCGAATCGTGTCGGTATTCGATTGCTGCTTGCTCGTCGTAAACTTGAGTTACGCATTTTTACTCTAAGTACAAGTACAAGAAATGTACAATATCTAGAATGTTATCAGAGCAAGAGGTGAGCTTTTCGTTCTGTTTTAAACCAAGCTTAAAAACAAACAATTCTGTGAAAAATCAAAATACTTAGTTGAATGAATGGATTTATCTTGAATGTGTTCGGATTCTGACGACAGAGTCGGATTCTGACGATAGAAACAGATTCTGACGATAGAATCCGATAGTTGGTAGTTTATAAATTTAGTTGACAACTTCATCCGCGACGTTAGCTGTCCCAAGGCAAACGATGAAGAGATTGACGTTTGGAATTGGGGAACGGCTGTGCTCAAACAGGAGAACGATAGACTCAAACAAGTGAATGGGACTTTGCGCACGTTGATCATTGTTGGCACATGCACCATTATCGTTCTTTCTTTGCTCATTATCGGTGTTCTCATTTTCCGCCGTTATCAACAATCCTAATTTGTCATTCAACGGATTTCTCTTTTCGTTTTTGAAACTGGCTACAAACTTCCGTACAATAATTTTCAAGCATATTTACAGATGTAATTCTTTTCCTGTTGCTGACAAAACTTTGTTGAACTATGATTTTTATACAATAAAAGTTTACGTTTTCATAGTATTAAAGTTAAAAAAACATTTTAAGCAAAGAAAAGAACCAAAATTAAAGCAACAAAAATGATCTTACAGATTGAGAATCGATTCGGTTATTAGCTGGTTTAAAGTGTGATCAGGATGGGATCGATCTTTAAAGTTTTCATCTTTTACATTCTTTTTGGCAATTCACAATCAATCAAGGGTTTTTTTTGAGCTTTGTATAACGTTTCCAATGATCAACAAATTCCAAAATTTTATCAGATCGCCCTTTTGCGCATTCGTCAAAAAGAAAATGTCCGAAAAAGAAGGAAATGGCCCATACGCAAGCAAATTTTCCCTTTCAAAAACAAGCTTTGATTGTAAAGATTCACACTAATTATTTCTAAAGATTTTTTCTTACCGTTTTCATTCGCCTCTTGTTAGACTAGCTTTATTGTCGAACCGTATCACTAGATGAGTCAGTACTTGTTACCCGACTTACCTAACAAATCTACATTCTTATTTCTAACCATTTTCTATATGTGTAGTGTAATTTTTAATGAAAAAAGTTTCTAAGCAGTTGTTACTGAAGATTTTTGCATTATCTAATTGTCCAATCTCTTGTGGGAAGGGATCGACAACGTTGAAAAACAAATTCTCCTTTTGCTAATCACTAATTCAATGATAGTTTAGTTTTTGTTACTTCTCATTTCATAATTGGCCATTATCTCCAATTTTAGTGATGTTTCTCAAAGTGTGCATCGGTGTGATTCTGGCTTTGACCGTCTTCCCAGTTGACGGGGAAAAGAAGTAAATTTAAAAGCTAACGCATGAACCTAATTACTTTTGATATTGCAGTTAAATAGCTAAAACTAACCCATTGTTCTTTTTATACAAAAAAAAAATGAAAACAGACTGATAATTGATTGAAAACATTCCATTTAGCGACTTGAACGACATTTCGATCAGCTGTACAGCCAATGGAACGATAATCTTGCAAACAACTCTCGATCTTGACCACAAATATGAAATCAACTCATCTAAAAGCAAAATCACCGCCAAAGGGAAGCTCTATGGAACCGGAACGATCACGATTTCAACTCCCACTTCGCTTAGCTTGGGTAACAAGAATATCTTCACCGTCAAACTCAAGGGATCATGTAAGTGTTAAGATTTTGCAAGATCTTGACCACAAAGTCGAAATCAATCGAGCAAAATCTCTGCCAAGGGAAAGCTTTATGCAAGCGGAACGGCCATAAGCCCCATCAGCAATGGGCTTTTTTTGAGCTATTCTTGTATAGTTTAGAGATAGATTCAAACAATCTCCCCTAATATTTTTGCAGAAAGTTAATCAAAGACAAGTTTAGCTGATGATTTCGTTCGTGATGTGAAACGCCCGAAGGCAAGCGCTGAAGAAGCGTATGTCTGGAACTGGGGAACGGCAGACATCCAAAAACGGAATGAGCTCATGTCAGGAGCACTTGTTGTCGGAGCATGCATCATTATCGTGATGGGATTAATCATTAGCCTTTGCATTGCATGTGTTTGTTGTTAGTACAGTGCGGAGCAAAACCATACGCCACCCCCTAAATTTCAATTTTCTCCGGCTTCCGTGCCAGTGACAAAAAAACTGAAAACGTAGTTAGATTCAGGACCAAAAATAACCCTTAAACCCCAAAAATCGTCGACATAGCATGAATAGGGAAAATGTAACAGCCAAAAAACGAAAATTCACCCGGTGCAAAACCATACGCCACCCCCCAAATTTTGGTGTCGTTGTTGCATTTTTGTTCAATTTTTATGATAACAAGGTTTATTTATAACAATAACAGTCTAATATTTTGTTGCTTGTCCCTGGCGACTGATCACGTCAAATATTCGACTCGGCATGCTGTCAACTAGCTTCTTGATGGTGCTTCTTGGAATAGCATTCCACTCGCGGATAATGGCATCTTTGAGTGCTTGAACATTTGCGTATTGTGTGGAATTGTGATAAACCCGACGAGCAAGCATTCCCCACAGATTCTCAATGGGGTTGAGATCGGGGGAGCACGCAGGCCAATCCAGAAGAGGCACTTGTTTTGACTGAAGCCATGACTTGGTTGCTCGGCTGACGTGGATGCTGGCGTTGTCTTGCTGTAGGGTGAGTTGATGTTGTGGAAGACTTTGCAGATATGGAAGAAGGTTGACCTCGAGCACATCGATGTAATCTAGTGAGTTCATCTTGGACGTGACAAAGACGATTTCCAGTTTTCCATGAGATGAGAAGGCGCCCCAACACATCACCGAACCCCCGCCGAAGTTTCGCTTTGAGAACAGTAATGGATTCTTGCGCAAGTCACGCCAATAAGAGTGTCCACCATCAGGCCCATCCAGGTTGAACTTTTTCTCGTCTGTGTAGATGATCTGAAACCAATAAAATTTGTTTTCTAAGTTTAAATAACTGATTCCAGTCAGTTGCCATGTTTGCGCGAGCAAAGAGCAACCTGTTCTGTTTGTGGATGACAGTTAAGCGAGGTGCTGGCTTCATCACCTGACGTGTGAGATGTGGCGAAGAGTTGATGGTTCTCTGAACAGTCCACTTTGACACTGGAAGTTGCAAATCACGCTTGATTTCATTTGCCGATCTCGTAGAGTTTGAGGCTTTGCTTCTGATATGGCGTTCCGCCCGTTTGGATAGCTTCTTGTGACGACCATGCGCATTTGAAGTACCATATTTGAGTGGAGCTTTGAGGTAACGGTTGATGCAGTCTCTTGAGCGATTGGCTCGATGACTCATCTCGGAAATTGACAATCCAAGTTGCTGCATGAGATCGAGTTGAGCCTGCTCCCCGTCAGAGAGTTGAGTTGCTTTCGGCATTGTGTTTTTGAAGTTGAAGTAAGACAAAGTAAGCTCTTTAAGCCTCCTTATAAGGAATCTGAAGTGAAAGGGCGGGACTTATGTTTGCCAGAGGCAGATTTAGCTTTTAAACTAGAAAAAGAGTATGAAATGACACCAAAATTTGGGGGGTGGCGTATGGTTTTGCACCGGGTGAATTTTCGTTTTTTGGCCGTTACATTTTCCCTATTCATGCTATGTCGAAGATTTTTGGGGTTCAAGGGTTATTTTTGGTCCTGAATCTAACTACGTTTTCAGTTTTTTTGTCACTGGCACAGAAAATTGAAAAAATTGAAATTTAGGGGGTGGCGTATGGTTTTGCTCCGCACTGTAGTCGTACTCTTTGAACTTAGAAGTTTCTTTTCTTGGCCAAATTATTCAAATATCATTTTTCAGCAAAGCATCACTTTCTAGATTTAAACTGTCGAATAATTGGTCACAAAGAACCTTTTTCACAATACTTTGGCAATAAAATTTATTATTTATATTGGTAATTGAATAAATACAAATATTAGGCTTTAAATCTTTATCTTCAAAACAATGTATAGACAAGTCCAAAGTTCAAGCTCAAAGCAACAAATGTATAGACAAAATGTTTACATTATCCTCTAGCAAGAGGAGCACTTGTTACAGTAACAGCGGCTGCAGATACTGTAGTGGTTTCAGTTGTGACACTTGATGGAGATTGAGTAGTTGATCCGGTTGATCCTTGTGAAGTGGATGAACTGATTGGCCCATTTGTTGATCCAATCGATGAACTCATCAATTTCATTGTTGTCGTTCTCATTGGTTTCTTTGTCTTTTCATGAGATTCACTTGAATGAGAGTGGCTTTCACTGCTTTCACTGCTTTTCTGAAATCAAATTCAAAATTGATCATCCTAAAATCAGAGAATTTGCAATTCTTGTCAAAATGGAGGTAAGACTTACTGATTCACTTGATTTTCTATGATTGTGTTTACCAGCCTGTAAAATAATCGTTAGTTGGGGAATTGTGATTTTCACAAACCTTCTTATGAGCCAAAACGACGACAAGGCAAATGGTGAGGACGAGAAGAGCACGCATTTTGAATGAAGGATTGGAATTGGAAAATTGTGATCTCTCCTTGAACTGTCGGCTTTAATAGTCTAGATTGTGCAGCTCTTTAAATATCAAGCCTCATGATACGCCCAGATTCATAACTTATTCGTCATTTTCATTCGCTAAGAACATATTTTGGTTTGGAGCTTTTTCGTCATTCTAGAAGAACTCCTACGAGTTGTGTGGGTTGTGTTCTGTTCGCTCAAAAAGGATCAAAAACTGATATTGTTGACTCAGCCGTGCTGGGGAATTTGACCGATCAGAAGCGAAGATTCATTTTATTTTAAAACATTGTTTCTTTCAACAATTTACTTTTCCAAAAATCGTCACTTTTAATTCAAATTAAAAACAGTTTATTCAATTCTGCAAATGAGTTGCTTATTTTACAATTGTTTGAATGCGAAGCAAGAAATGGGATGGCTAAAACAATTCTAAAAAATGAGCAGGATTTGGCTACAAAAGTGAATAATCTAATATCAAAAACCATATGCCTTGAAAAGCAAAAAATTTGACGAAAACGCATTTCTCTACATTTTTCGTTACATTTTTCCGATCAAAGAGTTCCCGCACACTTTATAAAAGACTCTATTTTTCAGCTTAAACCCAGATCGAAATTGAAGTTACTATATAGTATTTTGAAGTTGAAATTCTGGGGAGCATTTCTACACCTAAACCATTCTGATCAGAGCCACCTAACTCTCCAAAGAGTGCGTGGAGGGGAACTGTCATGGCTCTCACCTATATACAAGGTGATCAAAGAGTTCCCGCACACTTTATAAAAGACTCTATTTTTCAGCTTAAACCCAGATCGAAATTGAAGTTACTATATAGTATTTTGAAGTTGAAATTCTGGGGAGCATTTCTACACCTAAACCATTCTGATCAGAGCCACCTAACTCTCCAAAGAGTGCGTGGAGGGGAACTGTCATGGCTCTCACCTATATACAAGGTGATCAAAAAGTTCCCGCACACTTTACAAAAGAAGCTCCTATTTCAGCTAAAACCCAGCTTGAAATTGGACTTGCTATATAGTAATTTGAAGCTGAAATTCTGGTGAGCATTTCTACACTTAAACTATTCTGCTCAGAGCCACCTAGCTCTTCAAAGCAGCATTGTAGCACGCTGGAGTACGCGAACTGTCATCGCGCTCACCTATTTGAACCTGTTTTCAATTAAAAAATCCTTTAAAAAGCCTTTTTCAAATGTACACTCTTCTTTTAAGTAACAGTTTGATTGTTATTTTAAAAGAATAAAGTCTCTCGTCAAAATAAAAACGTAAAATAGTCTTGAACTTGTTATTCGAAAACATGCGAAACGAAACGCGAAAAGCGCTTTGCCTCGAAGGCAGTGCAAAGCTTCTTGAAAAGGTTGGAAATTTCTGATCCGAGTGATTTACTTATAGAAATATTAAACGGAATTTCATCTTTAAAATACTATAAAACACGGCAAATTTTGTTTTAGCTTTCATTTAGAAAATGAGTCATTTACAAGTGTGCGGGTACTTTTTGATCAGCTGTATTGTTGAACTTACTTGGTAACCTTCTTTTCTGGCTCCCGGAGCGTTCTCCCAACATTTCCTCAACAATGCGCGACACGGAAGATCGAGGGTTTTTGTGCAACTCGCGAATTTATCTCCATCATGAGAATTTGCATAGAAATGAGATTGCATCATGACTTTTTCCTCTCTAAAAGGTATACCTCAGTTTCCTGATATGATATCCATCGATATCGTGATAACCGTTCTCTAATGGAGTGTCACAGTGACCATATTGTTCCATGGTACATTTCTAGAGTTTTTCCAGTAATCAGTTTGTAATATTTACCCCAAAACATCCTCTCCTTTCAAAATCAATCGTGGTTGGCCAACAAAGCATTGTATCACCGTTTTTATCACAGCCACAAAGACGCTGTTCTCTAACTTCTGAACAGTCTTCAACTTTGTTAAAGTGTTGACAATGGATGAAAGCGACAGGATTACAAAAAGACTTCTTTACTTCACAAGGCCTTTTTTGTGCCAGTGCTGAGAATGCGTTAACCAAAAACACTGTTAAAACAACGAGATCTTTTATAAGATCGTTAACAAAGAGTTTAGAGTGTGTTCCTCTTAAGTAAACAATTACTTGAGCAAATTTGTGTTTAAAATTTTTTGCTCAAGGAATTGTCAAATAATTGTCAAGTAATTATCAAGTAATACACATTCTAAACTGCACCTATTTTCCAATTTGACATATCTAACACAAACTTACAAAATCATTTTCATTTTTTGTTTTCTGTCAGTCAAATGTGCACGAATTTATGTTTCTTTTTCTCCTTATTTTTACGATTTAATAAATTTTTGATTGGTAAATTTATTTTTAGATTGTTCAAAATATTGGAACCGTATTGGAACCGTATTAGATCAAAATAAGAACCGTACTAGAGCAAAATAGGAACCGTATTGGAGCCGTATTGGAACCGTATTAGATCAAAATAGGAACCGTATTAGACCAAAATAGGAATCGTATTGGAACCGTATTGGAGCCGTATTAGATCAAAATAGGAACCGTACTGGAACCGTACGGAATAACAGTCGTTGCAATGATGTCAAATGTTACTTGAGAAGCTTTGGGACATTTTGCATAAGTCGTGTTATTTTTTGGTATTCTTGCTTGTAACATAAACTAATGAAGGTAAACTTGGCTGTCTTCTAGGCTTAAAAAGTTAATAGAGTTAGTATTTTACCTGATCTACCCGATTTTTAGACATAAGAGTAAATTTCGACCACTACTCGCAAATTTCGATGAAAATTTTGTCTAAAGTATAACAATTATCGCCAAAATATCACAAAAATACGAAAAATGTTTGCAAAAAACCAATTCCTGAATTTTTTTAATTCATTTGAATGCAAATTTACATTCAAGAATTTTGAATATTTGTCTGGATTACGGTGCCTTTTTTGAGTGCACCTTTGAGTGCACCTAAACCGCACTATTGAGCCGTCGCCCTTTTTGACTACCCAACTTCATGCTTTCAAAAGAATTGACACATAAGGCATAAACCCGTTTAAACCGTTTCAAACCCCTTTCAATGTTATTTGGCAGGGAAATAATTGACCTTTCTAATGAAACAAACCGTTCAATTGGTGCATTTGTTGATTTTAAACAGAAGTATGAAAAAGAACGAAAAGACTCTCTGGACAGCCTAACATTGAGCTATACAGATATTGGCTTAAAACAGAACGAAAAGCTCACCTCTTGCTCTGCTAACATTGTAGATATTTTTCTGTAGGACTGGTAGTGCGGTGTTAGTGTATCATACAGTGTAGACCATGTTTAGTGTATCATACAGTGTAAACCGTACCGTAACTATTCTGGGTACTGGGCCCAACTCATTGTCCGTCTACCACAGCTTTGATTCTTTCACACAGTGTTTCAGTCACTGGCCCTGTAAAGAAATTACGGAAAAAGTTTTCCTGATCAGACTTATTAAAGCTAAACCAACAAAAATTTTGAGTGGAAACCCACGCAAAGCCGTGTTAGACCAAAATATGTTCTTCGCGAATGAAAATGACGAATAAGTTATGAATCTGGGCGTATCATGAGGCTTGATATTTAAAGAGCTGCACAATCTAGACTATTAAAGCCGACAGTTCAAGGAGAGATCACAATTTTCCAATTCCAATCCTTCATTCAAAATGCGTGCTCTTCTCGTCCTCACCATTTGCCTTGTCGTCGTTTTGGCTCATAAGAAGGTTTGTGAAAATCACAATTCCCCAATTAAGGATTATTTTACAGGCTGGTAAACACAATCATGGAAAATCAAGTGAATCAGTAAGTCTTACCTCCATTTTGGCAAGAATTGCAAACTTTTTGATTTTAGAATCATCAATTTTGAATTTGATTTCAGAAAAGCAGTGAAAGCCACTCTCATTCAAGTGAATCTCATGAAAAGACAAAGAAACCAATGAGAACGACAACAATGAGATTGATGAGTTCATCGATTGGATCAACAAATGGGCCAATCGCTTCATCCACTTCACAAGGTCCAATCACCGGATCAACTACTCAATCTCCATCAAATGTCACGAATGAAACCACTACAGTATCTGCAACCGCTGTTACTGTAACAAGTGCTCCTCTTGCTAGAGGATAAGTCAATTTCCCATCAATTCAACAAATTATATGCTGTTTTTTTGTGTATAAATCTTGCAAATTCAAGGCTCTCAAACAAAAAGTTTATTCTCGTAAACGGAAAGTTTTTCTCCGATTACCCGATTACCCAGTTTCACGAAGTCCTCTTCAGTCTGAAATCAGATTTACTAGTTAATTGGAACTAAATCTAAAGCATTAGATCTGTAAAGTTTTTCTTACAGTGGGGTAATTCTTATACGAATATCGGCCGTCTCTCAAAAGTCAAAGGTCAAAAGTCTCATCCACAGTCGTTATTCTAAAACATTTGTTGACAAAGACTTGCAAGGGAATAACCCAAACACAAGTGATAATTTTTGGCGGGGCGACGTTCTAAAACAACTTTTTGATATGGAGAGTACGATGCTGTTGTTATTTTTTGCCCAAATTCAGAATTGACCGAGAAACAAGCGTTCGAAGTTGGAATGAATTTGGGAATCTACTCGAAAAGTCGGATCTATGATTTCGCTTATGATTTGTCTTGTCGTTTAGCAAGCAGACGGCGTAGACGATAGTATGTCGGACTTTTGTTTGTTGGTATTTGTTTCATTGCACCAATATTCATTATGAGGGTTTATTCTATACAAGTTCTGGGCTTCTTAGAACTTTAGGGCTTTAAACTAGCTCAAAATAGATAGCACAGTCAAGCATAACAACGAATAAATCACATTGCCGCAACTTTATTTGACCTTGTTTTTGTTTAAAAAATACAATGCGAGTTTTAGGTTAAATTTTATGAAGTTTTTCAAAATGTCAATGATAAACGTTTCAAAGTGTTTCTTTTTCCAAACAATCACCAAACAACCAACTCGAAACCATTATGCCAACCCATCGCTTTTCCATCTTCGCCTATCTGAAAGTAATTTCATTTGTATAGTACTGGAACAATTTCTCAATCGACTATGTCTTTAAGATCTTAAAAACGTCATTCTCACCGTCTGGAACTCAGTTTTTCCGGGAATCCAATATGTTCCCGTGTCTTCTTCGACAACTTGATAAATGATAAGAGTTCCGTTTGGGTAAAATCGAGATCTCGATGTATCAGTGAAAACATTTCCCTTCTGAAACCAGAGCTTTATCATTTTCACATCGAAATCTTTACCTTATCATTCCAATTGAAACATTTAGCTGTTTCTTCCAATTCAAGGCAAGCATCAATCACTTGAATCCCTCGATGTCTTTGTAGGGGAACTCGTCTCGCCCATTGTGTTGAATTTGTCGTCACTTGATAACGAAAATCGTGACCACGCTAAGAATTAATAACTTTTACTGAAATAAATAAAATACTGATCAAAGATTCAACTGCGTTCATTACAAAACTAATTGCGAAATCCCTTTTGCGTCTCTTACACATTGTTTTACTTCTGACTTGCTTAGAACGAGAATCCGTTTTCCTATCAGCCCACTTTATCTCACAACTTTCTGTACCAAGCTTTTTTTTGTAATCACGTTAAATTCAATGACCTTGCTTGGAAAAGATCGTTGTCAATTTTGCACAAAGGTCGTAGACCTGGTTTTTGATCTCATTTATGAAATCGATTGGGTGTCTACAGCAATCAAAAGCCAATCCTTACTGATATTGAGACTAACTGGTCTAAAACTAAAGAAAAACTAAGGAAATGATTAACTAAAGAACAAAAGAAACGATTAAGTTTCTAGCTGAAAGACAGAGAAACCAACTACTCTCCAAGTCGGCCTCTTAAAGTCAAAAGCCTTTCCAAAATTGAGCATTGCTTTGAGCATTTTCTAAGACTTTTATAACTAGTAAGGTTAGCTTGTTAGTCTATTGAAACTTGACACAAATGATACTTTTAGTTAAAACTTGATACGACTTTTCCAACAAACAAACTTGACTACAAAGAATGGTAATCGTTGTCAAAGCTTACCCTGATTTCTAGCCGATCCACTTTAGCTAAACATAAAGAAATCAAAGAAAATAAGACCAAAATCGAATGCATGGCTAGTTGTAAGTTGTGAATGTTGAAATTAAACGTTTCCGCCGAGCTTCGAGAAAGGGCTTTTGAACCGCCAAAAAACTGTGTCTCGTTTGTCAAGGTTTCTCCTTTCTCAAATGGATAAAGGGAGATTTTCAATCCAAGAAAAAGCGGCGAGCGCGCGAGCGTTGAAATTGTTCATCTCTATTGCACAAAACATGAAAAAGAAAACAAGATCTCGAAATTGAGAAATTCTTTCGATAAAGATAGTTTTTCCGGAGAGATAACTCACAACTCAGCCACAGACTCGTGTCAACAACCGAGCCTGCACCAAAAACTTTGAGGTTTTTCACAAATCTCTTGAGAGATTTGTGAAAAATTCTTGCTTTATCAAAGAGATTTTGGATCATTTGAGGAAGTAATATTGAAAAACTCAGCATTTAATAATCTGTAATGAAAAATAATTTATAAGAACTTATAAAACATTGCAATACAAAGTAGAATAAGGACTTTGGTCTGCTGGAGTTTAAAAATGGTGCTGCTGGAGTTTAAAACTGTTAATCGTTAAAATCTTTGAAGAATTTTCATGCTATTTAATGAAAAATAAACATAAAATGCGTAACAAATATAATTTTTTATGAAAACTTCACGGAGTTACTGATAAAGATAATGATAAAGTTCCTTCTTTCTTTCTTGCTTCCTTTCTTCTTCCCCCTTGTATTTCCTTTTCTCTCTTGGCAAGTTAAGGTACCGGATAGCTCAGTAGTTAGAGCAGTTACCCGGAAGCAAAATCAACAGATCTAGGGTTCAATCCCCGTGCCGGAAATCTACTTTTCTTGCCAATTCCTTTACTTCTTTATTACTTCCCTCCGCGAAAACCCAGGATAAAGCTTGGTATTGATGAAGTAGATGTAATATTTGAAAATATCCAAAACTTGACCCAATTACATCCCATAACCGAAACTTTCCAAACATAAATTTCTCTTCTTCTCTCTACTCTTTCCTCTTTTCAAAAGAACTTATGAATGGCAAGGCAAATAGAAATATGAATTTTGTGGCAAGTGTTACAACTTCACTTTAGATTGCTAAATTGTTGATTTACTATGTATAATCCGTCTGATCTAATGCACAAAAAAGTTTTATTCTAAAAAGCTGAGATTGTCAGAAGTCTTTCTTGGTCGCCATAGAGCCATAGAGCTAAAAAAACTTGACAAAAAAGCTTCGATAATCGCTAAATTTTAACATAAATTTAACATAACAGATTAACCCTTGGTTTATAGACTTTTTCAAATTTAAACCGCGGTCAGGGCCCAGAAGTGGCTCATTCCTTTTGCAAATTCCCTTTGCTTCCAATGCCTCTTTATCAAATTCATTTCCCGTTAGAGCCGCTAGATTATGGAACTTGCTCCCAAACGACATACGAGAAATTCAGTCGCTTTTCATATTCAAGAAACGTATCGATGCTTTAGATCTAGTGGCTCTTTGCCGTAAGTAATTGGCTTATTGATTTCAGTATGTATTGTATGATTAAGTATCACTGTGCATTTCTCTATGATTTCTTTCACTTTATCGTTTGAATAAAGTATTATTATAAATAGGAAGTCTTACACGCGAAATTCAATTTCCAAATCTTATCGTAAACATTTTTTGTTTGATTTCAAATTCTCATCATTTCAAAAGTCATCCGCTTTGCGTGCCGAACTCTTTCATGCATACCCCCATTTTTTCTGGCATTCCAGAGCAGTAGAGCCTTTTCTTTTTTCAATAAAGCAAAATTTTTGTCGACATTTCATGTTCCTCTTTCTATTTAACGTTATTTAAACTTTTTGAGATAAATTGTTCAGCTTTAAACTTTACAAATGGCATTGCTTTACATTTACTGAAGACTTATTTTCTCCAGGAAAGCAAACGCTCACAATGGGGCAAAAGAATAAACCTAAAACACACAAAAAAGACGCGCTCACTCATAAACAAAAATGAATACTACGAAAAAAATGACTTTTTCTTTGATCGTCAATTCTCCAATTTTCGAATTTGGCAAGATGTTTTGCTACTATTTTGAGTTTAGATCAAAATGAATGGAAAAATTGAACAAATTTCAAAGAAAAGGTTTGTTGACTCGGGTTTGATTTATCTCTAATTTGATTGTACTACTATAAAACTACTTTTCCTGAAGTTTTCTAAGTTCAGAAAATGATGGTAACACTGGCGAGTCCGGAAGAACTTCCATCGTCAAGAAGCGAAGATGATGAAGATCATCTCAAATTTGTGAGAAGGGATGGCAAAGTTTTGACGGAAGACGGATGTAATCTTTTGGAAATGGATATGGATGATCCAGCTTGCAGACAATTTATCTTGATTTCAAAGGTTAGCTTTAATCAAAATTTCAAAACATTTTAACAAAGAAGCCAAATTTCAGTTTATTTCGGTCATGGGACTTTGCTACAAGCCTTTTTCCAGTAAACTCTCCACAACACTCCGATTGATTTATCAAGGATTTGTAACAGCTCTCTGTTCGATTTATTTTTATTCATTTCATAAAAAATTTCAGGTTTATACACTGGTGTTTTTGATTTTTACCATTCGGTCTATCGCTTTGATCCGAAATCTTCGGGGAGAACTTATCAATGGATCGTCATCATTATTCAAGCACTCGTCTCACAGGTAGTACTAGAAATGGGAAAATTCTAACCTGAACCTAATTCCACCTTCGTTTTCTTGGATTGCTCTGAAATTTTGTCTACAGGCTGAAAATGTTAATTTCTATCTGTGGACAAGATTTCAGAGCAATCGGCCAAAAATCGGCCAAGAAAAAGGAAAGTGGAATTAAGTTTGGATTAGAATTTTCCCCTGTCTAGGTAGTACCTATTCAAGTGAGATTTCTATATATATTCTAATGCTATAATCTTGTTCTTGTACCATTTCCATACACCGCTAAAGCTTCAGATTTTCTTGACTCGAGTGCAAATGAATCTGGGCATTCCGAGATTTTTCCATACACTGAAGCATTTTCAAATAGATGATGGAGGATATTATGATAAAGTAAAGCTAGATTAAATCGAAAAGCCGTTTTGAATAATGCACAAATACATTCTCAGCTTCGCAACCGTTCAATATCCAATCATACTCGTCGATTTCTCGTTCTTTTTGGAACTGGCTTCATCTCCGTCATTTTCTACTTGACTGCAGCGAAACTTGGTTTTGCGACTGCAATAATTCATCCGAGTTTCTTATATGTAAGACTTACATTACTAAGAATAGCATGATCTTAAGGTGTAAAACAGGTGTAAAAACATTCAACTCTTAGCATTTCTTAGAACATCCTAAACAGCTTCTTATAGAATTTTATAAATTGATCCTTACAGACTTTCATCTATCCAGAGTTACTCTGGATTCGTCATTTTCTCATTTTCTACAGCTTACAAGTCTGGACGATCGGTAAAACTTACTACACTTAAAGTTACTAAATCTTTTAGCTTTACATGTTTACATGTGCCTTGCAAATATCATGTATTGGGAAGCGAAGAAGTTTAATCGAAAACTCAGAGCTGTAATGATAAAAATGAGAATAAAGATGACATTTGAGCTTCAGTTAAACACTTCTACTCCAGATGAAATGGTGAAAAAAGTGGAAGAGATGATCCTTCTACACACTCATTTAAACAAATGTGTTCGAGAATTGGATCGGATATTCAAGGTTCAAATATCTCGAAATATTAAAAGAACATTCAGATCTACGCGTTTTTGATCATTTGCTCAATTATCCCTTCTACATTATTCACACTAACGCTCGTTTTGACAAGAGACAGCCTTTCTGGACTAATGCTTTGGTGAGTTGACTTTGAACTGGCAAATTTCGAACGAAAACATGAATATTTAAGTCGTAAGAATATGGCTATTGATTATTTTACTCAAGAAAATATAGCTCTAACACTTTTTTCCAGCATTCCAACAGTTTTGATGTGTCTTTATGGCTACATCGGTGCCACTCTTACCCCTGCCACTTTACATGAAGAGGTAAATGAAGTTAGAATCCATTTCCTTTTCAAAACGAACCAATCAATCAACCAACTTCTGCAAGTTTAAAATTATATTAGATTGTAAACTAAGTCTTGACCTCCTCAGCAAAGTTTCGAAATTTTGTTTATGTTTTTTACGCCTTTTTTGTTTTTCTTCAATATTGATTTATCAGTTCTTTATTGAAAAAAAAAACAATTCAGAAAGCCAAATGCTCTTTTATATTTTTTATTGATTATTTAGTCAAATGCTCTTCCAAATCTACCAACCGGGCATTTCCGACATCTAATGCTGTACGAATTTAAAAAGGAGCTTCTATCTCTGTTGCTCTGGCAAACATCAAGAGCGTGTATGGGGATGACACTTCTTCCAAAAGTACAATAAAACGCTGGTTCTACAAATTCAGAAATCAAACATTTCTCTCGAAGATGAAGATCGATCGGGTAGACTCAGAGAGCTTGAAAATGCAGATATCCTTCAAACAACTCGCGAAAACGCCCGGATTTCTTTTCGTGAAATTGTGGGTGAGGTTGGATACTTTCTTGTAACAGTTGAAAAGCACCTCCTTACTATGGGTTTTAAACCAATTTACTGTCAATGGGTGCCCTACAATCTCACCGACGCCATGAAAGGGCAGTGGTTTTCAATTGCCGTTGCACATCCGCGCGAAAATGCGATCACCATTAAATTTGCTCAAGGTAAGTGCTTTTCGATGCGAAAAAATGTCCTGAATTCAAATTTGAAAGAATTTTTCGAATCCGTCTGACAGATTTTTTTTAAATCGAAAAAAATCGAAAAAATCACTATTTTTCCATATAAACGCCAAAATGACCTCTCTTTTACAGGCTGGCTCTCGGCTAAAGGGAAATTTTGGTGAGCGTCATATACCAAACTTTATGTTCAAGGGTCTTGTGCACATTTTGACACCAAAACGAGATCAATTGGGTGAATTTGTGAAAAGTTGATGCCTTTTGAACGCAAAAGTAGCGTTTTTCAACTTTCTGCGCGCTAAAGCGTGGGTAAACTACCGTAACCATTACAAAAAAAAACTAAATTATAAAACAAACAAATGTGTTTTCATTTTCTTCACTTCTGATCAAAACTTTTGCTTTTTTTTTTATTGTTTACATAATTTTGTTTCCAACTAATGATTTGTATTTTACAAGTAGAGAAATGCCTCAAATCAACAAGAAACGTAAAATGGGGAAAGAAGCCTATCGAATCAGGATATCAGCAGGAAGCGATCGAAAGTTCAACAAGGAAAAAATGCGAAAAGTGAGATTGGCGAAGACTCTCAAGCAACAAATGAAGCGATCAGCTCATGCTCGACAAGCTTTACCTCTTCATATCGCCAACAACATTCGTAAACGATATTTCCAAAGAAATCTGTCTTCGCAGCATGGTTTGGCAATCATATCGCCTATTTCTCCAATTCAAACGTTGGCACTTTTTGCTAAATCTAAAGTGACGAGAGATGCACACAGAGCATATTGAAAGGCCACAGGAATTTTTCCAAGTGAGTATCGTCTGCAAAAGTTAAAGAAGAGCTTTCGGTCTAACGTTGAATATGTGTTCACTGGAGGGATTATCAAATTAAAGAATGTGCTTCAGGCTGTTCAATTCAGGCTTTCTCGCGTAGAAGACAGTGAAAAGAAAAGGATAGTGCTAATGTGTGACAAAGGAGCTGATACAACAAAGTTGACTTTAATGCTCCCGGACAAAGCTGAAAAACCACAATCCTGCTACAATCAGTTTATTATAGCTGTTTGGTTTGGATATGACAACAACCAAAACTTGCAAAAACTTAATACAATTTATGACGAGTTATTGCCACTAGGTTTGCAGATTTTTTTGGGTGGAGATTTAAATTTTTTGGCATCAGCATATGGCCTTTCAAACGCTTCATCATTCCCATGTGTTTGGTGCGAATTTCAAGCAGATAAGAAGAGAAAAGTACCTGGACAGAAGTATCGAAATACCTATTCCAAAAGATCGAAATACCTATTCCCTCTCGATCGAAATACCTATTCCAAAAGAACCTTGAAGTCAATGGATGCCTGACTTGTTGCTCCCGATTTTGACAGTCGAAAAGGAGTGCTTCGCTCATACGTTTGGAAAATTGAGCCTAGACAATGTGTGCCACCGATTCTGCATCTGAAACTTGGTTTTGGGAACTTGATTTTTAAAGCTATGAAAGACGAGATGGATAACAATGCGACAGCTAAAAAAATTTTGAAGATCTGTCAACTCGACTTGGTTTTGAAAAGTCCTTCAAATCCGATGACTTGAATGGTCCTAAGCTGAAAAAGCTTTGTCTACATCGCGCCGAATATCGAAAGTTGTACACGTCACGTAGATACAGATTTCTATGTAGTTGTTTGGATCAACTCAACAAATTTTGCGAGATTTCCACTACAACCAAGCCAAAACTGCTGCCCGATGAGCGCAAAAATATTATCGAAGAAAGCGGAGATTTGCTAACTTCCATGGAAGCCCTAGAAATTGGAACGCGTTCAGTCAAATCCCATGTAGTCATAAATCACCTGAAAGAGTTTCTGGAAGACAATGAATGTTGGGGAAACATGGCAGAAGAGGGCCTAGAATCACTACATTCAATTTTTTGGCAATTATGTAAAAGAATCAAGCGAGGAAATAAAACAGACATTTTACGTCATGCTGCACAAACACATTCCATCAATGTTCTGCTATTCGATGTAGGTTCTTTGTCTTAAATGTTGTTAAAATTTTATGGTTATTGCCTGGTTTTTATTAGTGCTTATAAGATCATAGATTACTGTTAAATTTAAAATAAAGAGTTAGACGTAAATATCAGCAAAATACAAAAAAGCCAACCAACCTGCAATCGCTAACATCTTTTTCGAAGACATATTTAAACATTTGACCAAACATATCTAAATTTGCACACTTAAGCTATAAATATTGTAAAAACATAACCTAATAAAATCCTCATTGTGAATTTGAGCTGTTTTTTGACGTGCCCGTTATCGACTGACGCCTTCTACCTGTAAAACACAAATCATTCGTTGAAATCAAAATTATGTAAACGATAAAAAAGGAGCCAAAATTTTGATTGAAGAATTGAATTGAATTGAAAGAAAAACAAAAAGAATTGAAGAAATTCATAAAAACACATTTGTTTGTTTTATAATTTAGTTTTTTTTTGCAATGGTTACGGTAGTTTACCCACGCTTTAGCGCGCAGAAAGTTGAAAAACGCTACTTTTGCGTTCAAAAGGCATCAACTTTTCACAAATTCACCCAATTGATCTCGTTTTGGGGTCAAAATGTGCACAAGACCCTTGAGCATAAAGTTTGGTATATGACGCTCACCAAAATTTCCTTTTCGCCGAGAACCAGTCTGTAAAAGAGAGGTCATTTTGGCGTTCATATGGAAAAATAGTGATTTTTTCGATTTTAAAAAAATCTGTCAGATGGATTCGAAAAATTCTTTTAAATTTGAATTCAGGACATTTTTTCGCATCGAAAAGCACTTACCTTGAGCAAATTTAACGGCGATCGCATTTTTCGCCTTATTTCGCGCGGACGTGCGTTGCCCTTCTTTCCAGATACGAGAGGAAATCTTTCTTACCGCGTGTAGTGACGAGAGATGCAAAGTAGATTATGACTGCAAAATTTCAGAGGAAACGACAAGAGAAATGAGTGGGAGTTACACTAGGTTGTGCTCCCAGAGCCCCACCAGACGAAGTACATGCTATCGGTTTGGTGGGATCTCTTAGGTGTCATTTATTGGAAGCTTCTCGATAATAAACAGACACTCAATATTATACAGTGACCAGCTCAGAAACTTGTTGAGAAAATTAAGGAAAAGAGCCCAATTTGAAAAAGGTCATTTTCCAACACGATAACGCCAGTTCACATACGGCAAAGTTGAACCGCTCCACAATCCACGAGTTGAACTGGGAATTCGAACCCCACCCACCGTATTCTCCTGACCTCAGTTCTACAGATTACCATCTTGATGCAACACGCTCTAGATGGAGAGCACTTTCAAAATCAAGAAGACCTCAAAAAGTGGCTCGAAAACTATTTCGACTTGAATTCTCGACAAAAATTTTCTATGAGAGAGGAATCCGCCAATTGTCAGTAAAATTGGTGAAAGTCATCGCAAATAATAAAGGCTTTTTCGATTAAACTGCTCTTTTGGTTGCCAATAAATATTATTTTGAATTTGGGATTAAGACTTAGTTTACAACATAATAGTGATTCCCTGAATCCTCATTGAAGGCTCACAAGTACAAATAGCTCTAATTTCTGAAGAACTAGACTATATCTGTAATTGTTTAGCTAAGCAAATCAAAAGCAACACTTTGTATGAATAACAATCTCTGGGTGCCATTTGACGAAAAAGTGAACAAGGTTGGTTTTTTGAGGGTTTCATTTGCAATTTCCAACTGAGGTTCATTGAAAGCATCAATTTCAAAGTTTCAATGATCAATAAACTAAAATTTGGACGAACTTTACGAAAATTTCTAGCTTTCTAGGTAGCTCACACGTTGGTGATGCACTTGGAACAAGCCGATTTGGGGATTTCTCTTTGGGGCTTTGCACTCGTCACAAAACCAATGATTCTTACGGTAAGATAGAATCTAAAAGACTGAATATCTTTCAAAGCCATCTCCAGACATTTTCCGTGATGATGACTTGTCTGGCTTTCTTTTTGGAGTTTCGCCCGAAAGAGACCGCGTAAAAACAGAATGCCACCATGCCGTGACTTTGAATCAAATTGTTTTCACTAGAGTTGTTTTCGTTAGATGGATACACGCTTATTCATTAAATTTACCTCCATTCTCTATTTTTTTACCTTTGCGAAGATTTATTGAGCAGTGAAATATGACTGGAGAAAACACAGAGTTCAAACACCTTTAAATGTGCAATTTTGTTGTTTTTTTGAATCAATAGCCTTATCAGTGAATTTCTTGAGTAAGGAAATTCAATGGAACGTTTGTGAATGATTTTTTTTGTGTTATTAAATGATGAAAGCGCTTTTAACTTGTCTTATTGGACTTATCATTTTCTACAATGTCATCAGAGCACGAGGTGAGCTTTTCGTTCAGCTTTAAACCAATATCTGTATAGGCCAATGTTAGGCTGTCCAGAGAGTCTTTTCGTTCTTTTTTATACTTCTGTTTAAAATCAAATGCACGAATTGAACGGTTTGTTTCATTAGAAAGGTCAATTATTTCCCTGCAAAATAACATTGAAAGGGGTTTGAAACGGTTTAAACGGGCCTTATGTCTGAATTCTTTTGAAAGCAGATCGATTGCTCAAGCCAAACATTTGTAAAGCCTTTGAACTTTACATTTGTAGAGTCGGCTTTCTCTTTAACTGAACCTAGAACAGTACTGTGAATAAATTTACTAGAATAAACTAGAAAGCTTCTAGCTATAATATAATACAAGCTAGATTCGCAGTGCAAGGTTATTGGGCGGTCCAGAAAGTCTCTCCATTCCTTTTCATACTTCTGTTTAAAACCAACAAATATACCAAAAAACTAGGGTTTGTGTCATTAGAAAGGCCAATTATTTTTCTGGCTTAAACATTAAAACGGGCTTAAAATGCCTTATGTTTGCATTTTTTTGAGCGCGTCAAGTCGGGTAGTCAAAAAGGGCGACGGCTCGATGCGGTTTAGACATTTTAATAGATAGATAAAAGATAAAATAGATAGATATAGATATAATAGGTTGATGCATAAGTCTTTTTGTTCCTTTTCGTCTGCCGTTTCAAGCCAACAAATGCACCAATTAAACTACGGTTGATTTCATTAGAAAAACCAATTATTTTTCTGCAAAATAACATTAAAACGGGTTTAAAAATATTTTATGCCTGGATTTTCTTGAGAGTATGAAGTCGGGTAGTCAAAAAGGGCTAACTCGATGATGCGGTTTAGACACCTTAGCTAAAGAAAACCTATCTTCGTGTCAATAGATAAAAGATAGAGAAAAAAAGTTTGATATTTCGCCAAAATTTCAGAGAAATTCATTCAGCCAATTTTTCCGTAGAGTTTTTTATAGATTTTTACGAAAAAGGCGTTTTTCACTCTCGAATTTGCTTGAAAGTGAACCGAAATTGATTTAAAAAGATGGAAATTGAACAAAAAAACACTTTTTTTATAGAGCAAACTATAGATTAATTGGTGAATTTGTTACTTTTTAACAGAAGTACGAAAAAAACGAAAAGACTTATGCATCAACCTAATAGATAGTCAATAAATAAAAGATAGAGTATAAAAAGTTATGTATATGATCAAGTTTGCAGAGAAATTAATTGAGCCAATAGAGGTTTTCATTGGTTTTTACGAAAAACACGTGTTTTCACTCTCGAATTTGCTTGAAAGTGAACCCAAATTGCCTTAAAAAGATGGGAAAATGAACAATAAAGAGTTTTTATTTAGAGCAAAGCATAGGTTAATTGATGAATTTGTTATTTTTCAGTACGAAAAGGAACGAAATGACTTTCTGGACAGCTTAATATTAAGTTGGTTCACAATTTTTTTCCAAAAGTATTTTTAAAATAATACCACAAAATTTCTATTTAAACTATTAAAAGGACTAAATCTTTCTATGCAAAATGACTTTTGGGAAATTCTTGAAAGTAATTGTTTTTGTGGATTGGGGTTTTTGGATCAAAAGCGCAAAGACGAGCACCTAAAACTCCGATGCCGAAGTCGCAATTTGAACACTTTCTTCAATACAAACCTATTTTGGTGCCATAGTAAAAAAGATGGAGCGCATTTGATTACATTAGTCTTCAAAATTTAAAAACGATCCGTTCAGCCATTTTGTTTAAAACAACAATTGAAAACCTTACACAAAAATGTGTTTTTATCCGGTTGAGGCGAACTTTGAGCTTTCTCTCAAAAGTCATTTTGTAGAGAAATGATTGACCTTTTTAATAGTTCAAGACACAACAAATTTGTTAAAGGATTCTTTTCCATGGAAACATCAAACATCAAACAACATCAAACATCAAACATCAAACATCAAACAACATCAAACATCAAACATCAAACATCAAACAACATCAAACAAAATTTGAAACCAAATTGTAAAAACTTATGCACCAATCTAATAGTTTAGACTTTCAATCGAGAGCTTGTTGTCCGGAAAGCTGCATCAACAACTGTAAATCTGGAAATTGTCCTTATTGGTGTGGTCTAAAGGACAATTGATGTCATCAGAATGAAACCGCTGTCATCAGTCCAAAATCAGTAAACATCGGTCCAGCAAAAATGTACTACTCCTTGCAAAAATATCTGTTTGATCTGCTTTTTGCTAAGTTTAATAGCGCTGAATAAACTTTATTCATTTGAAAGTTTTATCAACGCAAAAAAAAGAAAAAGATTGATTGAAGTTTTCATTGGAAAACTTTAACCAATTGGAAGCTCGGTTGACTGCGTGACTAAACCAATCACTGAACTTCGCTTTTGATTTTCGATTTTCGGCCTTTTCGAGCTTTTCGATGGTAACATAAACATGATTACAACAAAGCTAAAGGTTCAAGCTGTTTCACGCATTAAAAATCAAGCTGTTTGACTAACCCAAAAATAGATTGTACAGTAAACGGATAGACTTCCATGAGCAGAAAATAGAAAACGGGTACTCCTCCTTTAAAGGAATTCAATGTCCACCAATGAAGCACCAAAAATGTGACAGTGATAAAATGAGTTGTCACTAACTAAAAGCAATAGTAACTCCAGAAATTTTTACCTACCATAATTGACAAACGGATATCAGCTAGCCGGCTTGAGTTCGATGTTGATCTCTTGGTCTAGAGCTTTTTTTCATCAAGTAAACTTAGAATCCTGGAGACTTAAAAGGAGAGCCAACCAACCAGTGCATGAACTCTCCACAATGTGAGTAAATCAAGACAAAAAGTGACTCCAAATACACCGTACATCACTTTCTCAAACCAAGTGACCAGCCATTGCCCAATAGCATCCCATGAATAAGAAGTGACATTACAAAAATGGAGAGGACTGTAGAACCAGCCTCCATAACAAATGAAACCAGTTACTGGGTTAACCACTAAAAGCATTACCTTTTTTTTACATTCAAGCACTCACAATTTCCGATTTGATAACAATAGACGGTGATCGGGAAAAGCCAAAGGGCCAAAGCGTGCAGAAAAGCGATTTTCTCCATTTTTGAGTAGTACAAACCATTAAAGAAAACGGCAAAGACTCTGAAGATGAATTAAGCAAAAATTTGATTTGATCTGACCTATTTGTGCACAGTCCATTGGCGAGCATTTGCATACAATAAATCATGCTGAGATTACATGAGGAAATAATTGAATTCAGGGTTAGAGGTGAGATTGGAGATCCCAATGGGTTTACGCATTCCCATCTAGAATTTGACTATGCTTTAGAGTTGTTACGTCCAAATCCGGTTCGATTTCGGATTCCGAGGTCCGAACCTGGTTCAGGCGTCCGAATCTCTCCTTTGGATCAAATCCGATGCAAGCTGTATTTGAATTGGTGCAAATATGCTAATTCTATAAAAATCTATTTCTATCTACATAGTTCTATGACTTTACTACGGGCTAGCACTATGTACAGTACTAGAGCCAGTACTACAGGGAGTTCAGTATTTGTTCAGACTTCTTTTTGGTAGATTAGCTCCCCAGCGCAAAGTTCCGCCTAATATGTTAAGTGTTATATCAAATATTGAAGCCCTTAATTTTGGCTACATTTATCTATTAAAACTTTTCCGGTTGGATATAAACAACTCATTTTACAAGCCCTTGAATAAGTATTAATCGGTCCCCCTCCGGCGCGCTGCCATTTTTGGCGATTTTCATTATAACAAATAGTCAGAAAAAGTTTTTCGATATTTATTTTATGGTAAAATTATATTTAACACCATTTAATAAAGCTAAGAACTGTTTTTGACCGAACCGTCTTACTCAAGTCTTGCTTTTATATAATACTTAACACACTAGGGTTGAACTTGGCTCTTAGGAGCTAATCTACCAAAAAGAAGTCGCCGTAGATCCTGAACGCCCTGTATGCTCAATACGGGTCAGTACTATGTACAGTGCGGACCAGTAGTACGGACCTTGCATCGGATTCGATCCAAAGGACAGGTTCGGAGGTCCGAATCCGGTGCAAAACAATTGGATCGGATTCGGACATCCGAACCTGGTTTGAACGCTGTACCGGATTCTGATGTGCCAAAGTTAGGGTTTAAGAAAGAAAATGTATCCATGAACAGGCTGTAAGACTAGGTAACTACACTCACGACAAAGTTTTTTTTCTTGTTCTGAGTCTAACCTCTTTGTTGGTCGGTTTAAGGATAAATCCCTTTAAAAACTTCAACAAAACCTACGTCAACACACACCACGCTTTGTAATACATCATCCATGAGACATTAATTCGACTATAGCAATCAAACAATAAATAGAACTTGACAGCCCAAGAAATGTTCCTGTTCTTGACGATCAAACGAGCGCAGAAAAGATTCAACAAGGTACCAAACGAGCCAAACTAAACTTGAACAAGCTTGTTTTAGATTAAAGCATTCTTCAAAGTTTTATGCTTTTCAATTGTTCTTTTTCTATTCAGTTCACTTGTAACCCAAGTTTGGCCCACCAAAATAAGCGCCCCAGCCACCAGTCCATTTATCTCATCATTGACATGGGATTTCACCGGCAATCCAGCCCAATCGTAAGCGATCCCAAATTGTGGTAGATCGTATGAATAACCAACATCATCGTGGCAAAGAGTGAACGTGTAATCAATTCCACTTGAATTACCGTGATCGACTGGAGTTGAGGAGATTAAAGTGGTTGTTGAGTAAAGGTTATAGAAGGGATCGGATTCTGTCATTTATACTTGTGCTGGCCTTCAACGAGGATCCAGTGAACCACTAGAATATTAAACTTGCAGAAGTTGAAAAGAGTTAGTGGTACCAACAAGATTGATTAGTTTTGAAAAGGAAATGGATTTTAAATTTATTGTAAAGTTAACAATAACAATAAACAATTTTTTATTACTTTCCATTTCAACTTGTCTCTTTTCAACAAGTTGAAATGGAAAGTAATGAAAAAAATCCAAACTTAAATCAACAATGACACAAGTCTAGTCATTTTCGATCTCAAAAAGACCATGAAAAACTTTCTTCCGTTCAAATTTTCTCGACAATCAAATAAGGAAATTGGTTCGAAAGAAATGACTACTAAATCATGAAGTCGGGACAGAATTTACTTCCAAAAAGCATTGATTCTATTTTCGACTATAGCCACAAGTATCACTCGGGCAGTAAATTATGGTCTAAAGAAAATTTTCTTTGAAATTTTTATAAAGAAAAGAAAAAGTTTTGTTTTTGGAATATCTCGAGAGTTTCAAACTGTAAAATAGAACTTAGATTGGAAATTAAGCTAATAAAAGAAAACATTCAACTTTGATCTTTGATCAGGAAATAATTTTTAAAAAAAACAAATTTAACCGAGTTATTAAATCCTGGAACATTTTACCCCCCACATGTTCGTGATATTCCCACCTTGACTAGATTTAAAGCCGCAATTTCGGCAATTGATTTGACTGCTCTGTGATTCTTCCTTGAGGTATCTATTTATCTTTTGAGTGTGTTTTGAGTGGTGTCCCGGGTAATTATTGTGATTTTGTTTTGTCGCTATTCAACTGAATAAAGCAGATATATAATCTCGCTTATAAAGGTCCGATGATAAGGTTTCGTTTCCGCGAAACAGAATAATGTCATAATTGTTGACTTTTACAAAGCATAAAAAGATTAGTGAGTTCAGTGCAATTTTGTTAGACAAAATATGGCTTACGATCTAGATAAAGTTAAGCTTTAACACATTTGCGGTATTTTGGGCGTACATTCGTATAGCCGTTAACTGTTTTACTGATATCTTGGTGCAAACTTAAAGATAAACAAAACTATTATAGTCATTGAATAGCCTTAAATCTGATCTTAAAAACTAGTACAAAGTTACCGAGAAATTTCTGCAAAAGAAATAACAAAAGTATTTAAAAAATTGAGCTGCCACTAAAATAATTGTCATTTGTACGCCCGGCCGGTGGATCGATCGTCTTGAATGTGTTAATTGTGAAATAAAATCAAAAATTAAAAAAGTTACATAATTTATTCATGAGCAGCTATATTTCTGCTTGTTTCTACTTTATCAAAATAAACTTCCAGCCACTTTTGAGGAGCGACTCTTCAAGCAACAACAAAAATCCATCAATCTCCTTGTTCTTTGCCTAAAATTCATAAAATAGATTCCAATTAATTGCTTCTACCTTCTTTCCGGCAATTCTTTAAATTCCCATTGGGAATGATAATGCTCAAAATACACGGCCTTTGCTCGAAGCTCCAAATTGAGAAGATCAGCCGTTTTTGTGACTCGATTTCTTTCACTTTTTACAACGATCCAATAGAGAAGCCATGGGGAAATCATTGTGAAATATTGTGGAATCTGGAATGCGAGTTTTGGAGGCATTTTGGTTTTGTTTTTGGTTCATGCAGGTGTTACTTTTGATTCTATCAAGTCTCTTCCGTTTCTTTTTCAAATCAGCATCAAAGGGTACAATTTTGCTTACTTAAAAGTACGAGAATAAAAAGAAAATGACATTTTGACACTAATGACACTATTTTTTTCGATAATAGGCTGTCGAGAAGTCTTTTCATTCCTTTTCTATTGAAAAAGAACAAATTCACCAATTAACCTATGCTTTGATCTAAATCAAAAGGTGTTTCTTGTTCAATTTCCCATCTTTTTAAGGCAATTTGGGTTCACTTTCAAGCAAATTCGAGGGTGAGAATGTGTTTTCCTAAAATCTCTAAAAACCTCTATTGGTCAATTAATTTCTCTGCAAACTTGGCTATAAACATAACTTTTTATACTCTATCTTTTATCTATTGACACGAAAATAGGTTTCCTTAGCTAAGGTGTCCAAAATGTCTAAAGTGTCATCATCGAGCCGTCGTTCTTTTACTACCCGAGTTCACGCTCTCAAAAATTCCAAACTTAAGACATTTTAAACCCGTTTAAATGTTATTTTGCAGGAAAATAACTGGTTTTCTAATGACTTTATAACTTTCTAATGAAATAACTTTCTAATGAAACAAACCGTAGTTCAATTGGTGCATTTGTTGGTTTTAAACGGAAATACGAAAAAGAACGAAAAGACTTTCTCGAAAAGACAACCAAAGTTCACTATTCCAAAACTCACAAAGAAAAACCCGGAACTAGCTGAATACAATGGTTCAGGTAAGTAGGCAAAAAATTGTCGATAGGCAGCACTGAGAATCGAGAATGCCAAGAAGGAGAAAGCATGGAAAAGACTGAAATTTAGATTCTGAGTCAATTATATCGGTGATTCTCGGGAAATTGTGTGATTTTTAAACAAAGTTTCGTTGTTCAAGGAACCGTTTACTTTTTAGAGCCAAGTCAAGGAGCTAAATTCAAGCTTGAAAAGTGCAAGCCAATAATGTGAGAAAGCTAGTTTCTTTAGACCGGATTTTCACCAGTTTTTCTTTTCTTTTTCTTACCTATACGGAAGAAAAAGCTGCATAGTCAAAAACAGCTGTCGCCGCGACAAATTCACCGAAATATTATAGGATCTTTGAAGTCTGAATTTTCAAATAAAATCTCTCCTATTGACTGAACATATCTGTTTTCTCTTTTATACAATTTCAACAATAAAAAAGCACTGAATATCGTAACGATTTCAAAGATTCCGATGAAAATCGATTCAATATTCGATTTCTCGGCTAAACTCTTTGCATTCCCGAGACAATATGCGATTTGAATGCTTGGAGTGGTGAAATCGGCGAGTTTCCACCAGAATTCGAGGGAAAATGCGAAGATCTAAAACTCTATATTGTTTTTGATTTTAGTTTTTTGATTTTCGCTTTGAACTTTAGTTGGGATAATCTTTGGCTTTACAACTTTACTAAAGATGATCAAAATAAAGCTTTTACCAACTAAATTAGTAATTAGACCAAAATTACCGCCATCGAAGCCAGCACTCGTCTCAAAAGCGTTTCCCTTTCGTTTGAAGCGATCACCACCAAAGAATGAAATGAATCGGAATAGAGCAAGAATCAGATTGAGAATTGGCAATGACACAATGGAGATAAGCATTGCAAAACGAAAAGAATAACACAGCCATGAATTGATCGTGGCAAGACATGGTGGTTGGGTAAAATGGAGAAAGAGGAGAGTTGTCTAGAAATTAAAAAGCTCTTCAATTTGTCTTAACATTAAAAAAGGGGCAAGTTCCAAATCGAGTAGCACTTAATGGGCTTGGCTTCCAAGATCAAATCCTTTAGCATTATTTCTTTTCAATTCAATCTTGGCCAGCTAACAGCAGCTTTCAGCAGCTTACAGAAGCTTCCACCAACCTGTAGTAAGAAAGCACCAAGATTCTGTATAAGATGAATCACGTAACAACAAAGCAAATGCTCCTTAAAAGCTGAGTCTACAAAAATTGATGAGAATATCCGCCGACATGTGACGAAAATCCCGAGAATTGACGTAAAACTGCAGAAAAGTTGGCAGCACATTGTCGTCTTCAAATATGAACTTGATGTAAATTTTGATATATCAGGACAACTTGAATCCATTTAAGAAAATAAATATTTGTGTTGGTAATTTTCAAATTGCTCTTTCTCTTGATCAAGCTGTCCTTTACAGAGCCTACAATTTAGGGTAATCTTTGCCCAGATTTTTGCTCAAATCCCTGGGCAATTTTGCAGAAGATAATTGCTTTGTATCAATAAATTTAGAAGATAAATATGTAAATAAAAAGATTATGGAGTTAATAGTGTATCTATTAGATGTTGTGACTGGAAAGAGCAGGCAAAGAGTCACTTTTACGTTTCCTCAGCAGGTGTTTCTACCAGAATAGACTGAGGTCAACGCTTTACAACTTCTGCAACAAAATTCTCTTAAGATTTTTATTCAACAAAGATCCAAGTTCTTTTAAATCACAATTTTCATACAGTTGCCTAAGCTTGAGCCTGAGTTACACACGGTTCATACCTCTTGCATACAGTTTTCATTCAAGGAAATAGGGAGTGACACTGATGGATACCATCGATACAAGTCATTGTTTGGTCCATAAAATAAGTCTCGCTCTTGGTGCAAACAGCAGCGTTTGATTCACCTGTATGCCATTAGATAAAATCTCTTGTATTTCCGAGTCAATGTAACTTTGAGACAAAAATAGCATCGAGCGATCAAGTTTTAGATTAATTGTCTTTGTTTTGTGTCGAGTTAATCACTAAGCCAGATAAATTTATTCAAGCAGATAATTTCAAAAGATTTTCAATCGAAACATTATATTTACGAATAATTGTTGATGTAAATGTAAAATTTCTAAAAAGGTAGCGTATGTGCAAGGGCAAACAAGTCGGCAAACATTTAAAAACAATTGAACTCAAGTGAAGTACAGCCTGAGCAGTTCAAGTAACAAAAAAGGTAAATAAAGCCAGCAAGCGTCCCTGGGTTCAAATTGTTTGAAAGTCGAATATTTTGATAGACATGGTAGACACTTCATGCATAAGTTGCTGCCAAAGAGGCATGCGTGCGGGATTTTCTTACAATGGTTACTATACTTTAAAAACTACTCTAACGTCGGCCAAACCACGATCCAAACCATCCACCGGATTTTGGTGGCGGAGTTGGAAGTGGAGGTGGTGAGCTTGGTGGTGGCGGTGGAGGTGGAGGTGATGAGCTTGGTGGTGAGGGTTTCGTCTCTTCCTTGGCTCTTCTAATTTTTGCTTCCACTTCTCGATCAATCTAACAGTTTTTTGTGCAAATCTAAACATTATCCCTTACCCTTTCTTTTTCTCGTTCCTTTTCAGCTGCAGCTAATCGCAGCTTCTCAATCTCGAGGTTGGCGAGGATTTGCTGAAATGAAACATTCTTATAATGATCCAAAAACAACAAAGAATTTGTCGAGCATAAAATCAAATGACAAACGTTCTTTTGAACAGCTAGCCTTGCCTCCTCCAACCGGATTTCCCGCTCAGCAGCAGCTTGACTTCGACTAAAAAATGACAATAAAACACAAAACAAAGCTCATGAACATTTCTTATCCTTTATTTATAAAAAACAAACCGTTCGGTAGCTTCTTGCATTTGTTGCAGAACCATCCACATCGGATTATTTCTCAAGTCGTTCATTTTCCCTTCAAGTTCTCGTTTCTTTACTTCCTTGTCTAAATTTTTTTGAACAACGATTCTCTTCAAAGTTTACCAAATTTCTCTTTTAACTCGTTGGCATGTTTCCTTCCCTGATTGCAACTTTCTTGAAGAGCTTTTACTTGTTGGTTATGTTTCTGCTGATTATTGATGAGTTTTTGCTTGATCTTCTCAATCTGGATGTGTTGTCTGACATTGCTCATGAATGTGTCTTCACATTTCTAAACAACATAAACTTGATTGTACTTTGAAGAAATTCTAGGAGTGATATTATTTTTCCATGCTTTATTTTTTGTATTCCAAAAGTTACAAACCTTGAACAAATCGACACTTTTCTCTTTGTAATTGTCGATGATGTTGTTGATCAGGTCAATGTCCAATTTAGGCATTTGTTCCTTTATTTGGATAGCAAATTTTGCCTGTAACAGTAATCAAATTCTAGTGTGTCAAATTTCTTTGTTTAATTCCTATAAACCTACTTTTTCAACATTGTAGTTAGCTTCAAGCAATGCTTTGATTTCCCCAATCTTCTCCTCTGCTTGATCCATTTTGTGCACTTGCACCACAGACTAAAATTTTGAATTTTAAAAGCAATCTTTTTCTATTACACCTTTCCCAACTCTGTCGCGTAAAATTCAAGCAACTCGGCAATTTTCTTGGACAGATCCGAGTTTATCTGCGAGACAAAACTTTCTTCCTCCAGGTTGGCGAAACGACTCTGTAAACAAGACGTCAATCCGTACTTTTGATTATTTTGCATTTACTTTTGATTCAAACTTGCATTTAAAAAGGAAACGGTAGAATGAACAGAGCAATAGCGAATTGATGATAGAATGAAATATGAATGCAAAAGGTGAACGGCGTCAAGATTTGTTAGAGAGATAAACACTTTGGATGAGAAGCTAATAAAAATACGACTTGTGGCGTGCGTGGCGTACAAACTAGTTAAAAGTACCCGTTCATATTTTGTTTATGTCAAAAAATTTCAGGAATTATAAGTGTTTAGATTTATTAGGCCATTCGTTCTCACTAACCTGAATCATTCTGTCTAGTAGAGCCCTTTTGTCATTGACGAGACTCTCTTCATCATTAAAAGGTTCCACCGCTAAATTTGTTATGTTAACCACCACTCCTCAATAGTCAAAAAAGTATTGGCACCTTCTCAGAAATTTCACATATTGATTAAAAACTTTTCTCCTATCCATTTTCAATCCGGTTTAAATTGTTAGATCTATGGTTAAACATGGTTCAAAACGAATATTGCCCGTTTTAAAGGCAAATTCACGCAAAATAAGCAAAAGTCAGACCGCAATCATGTCTTCGATCCTCACGACCCCCGCCGAAGAGTTACTCCCAAAAGGTATTCTTCTTATTATTCAAATTTCTTCTAGTTTTCAAAAAACCTAACCTGATCGACCAATCAAAAAAATTTTGGCCATGAAACCGCAAAACGCCCTGTTTTTCCGTATAAATGGCTATTTCAGACCTTAAAAACTAAAAAAGCTATCGACAAACTGTTTTCAGTTTCAAATTCAGCATCATTAAATCACTAAAAGACAGTTAAAACTTTCTAGGTAGGAAAAAAAATCCTACAGTGAGAAAACACAAAGGTGTCAATACTTATTGCTGCCAATTTTCGCACATCTTCTGTACTTTTGAATTTTTCTTCTTGAATAAAACGTTCAACATAAAAGTTTTTCTATTTATAACGAGTTTAGTTCTTGCATTATCTCAAAATTTAAACCTTTAAATTTAATGATTGAAAATTTAAGGATAGGAGAGAAGTTTTTTATCAATATGTGCAATTTTTGAGAAGGTGACAATACTTTTTTGGCCATTGTATGTATGATTCATCATTCTATTTCATATTTACTGTACCCGTCTCAAAATTGTCCATGGCTTGTCTATGAGCTTTCTCATGTTTCTCCCTCAACCGCTCCACGGTTTGATTGCCTTGCAACAAGTCTTTGAAGTTTGGCTAAAATTATAAGCTAAAATTGTAGGCAAGTTGTTGTCTTATACATTCGAAAGCAGTTTTAACTTTCGTAAGAATAACTTCAAATTTTCACACACCCGCATCATTCCCTCGTACTTATCATAGCTGCCATCTACAGCTTCACTCATTTGTCGATCCCGAAAGCGGTCTCGATTCGACTTGGATCTTTCAGCACACCGATCCTAAATGTTATCACTACAATTGTAGCTTATCTAGAGATCCGGTTTTGAATTCCCACTCAATGAGCTAACTTACCTCCAAATATCTTTTGAACTCAGCAAATGCTCGTTCCTTTTCTTCCTGACTCCCAAAAAGCGTTTTGCTGTTATACACCTGAAAACGGTTACAAAATGTTACATCAAATGCAATTACATTAATCGATGATGTCACAAGTTCTTTCAGTTGATCATCAAACTTTTGTGGCACAACCGAGCGAGAATCATTCTTTTTAACCAACTAAATAGAAAGAGTTTTGGAAAATGACTGATCAAAAACCTCGTCATAATCAGAATTAAACTGTTCAATCCCCGCAGTTCGTGCCCTTTCAAAGTATAATTCTTTTGTCGCCTAAAATTTGTTTCTATACAAATTCCTGGAAATCTTACGCTAAATGCCGTGCCGATTCCTCTGAGATCAGCGTTTTTCAAGTGTGCAACGAGATTCTAAAAGGGGTTTTCGTTAAAACCTCGGCATTCAAAGTCACAGTAATTTTGTTTTTACCAACCTTGACATATTCTTGAAGGGTGAGCCCGGTGAGTCGAACACCCATCACTAACTTTGGCTCGAGATTCTTCAAGATGTCATTTGCGCAGTCGCATAGCCCGGACAAAAACTCTTCTCCACAATCTGCAACAATAATCTGTTGAGATTTTATAATTTCTTCATACCTCCAGCTTTGATCTCTCCACTAGCGTTGATCACGTGTTCAGCCGGCCTCTTGACCATAAAGCATTGAACTTTCTCAAAGCTTCTGAACAGCCCTTGTACAAGGCGGTTCACGTCATGGGCATTCGTTGATGCATTCTTAATACGCTTTGGTTTTACCACTAAATGTTACTTACCCGAATATGAGATAAATATTCATTTCCTTGCTCAAAGCCAGAGCAATTTGCGTCACGAACCATTAGAAGGAAATTCTATTTTGAATAGAATTTTAAAATCAAAAAGTTTTCACCCACTTGTCCGATCACTTTATCATTCATTCTCGAATACTCAATGAAGAGATTAAGCGCGTCCAAATCTTGAGCATCAATCTGGCTCTTGGTGTTGAAAATCTAGATAATAGTGATATTTTCCATCTACTTATAGTTAGGTAAACCTTGATCGAAGACATCAGCAATGAGATGACGAAGATGATCGCCGAGTGAGCTGGATTTGTTTGACAATCATATGTGCCTTGGGTGTCCATAAGGATTACAGCTATCTAAAGCCATGCATTTTTGAAAAAATATCAAATAAAGGATTTAGACTCACATCTTCACCATTCTTGTCCTTGCGAATGAAGACTTTCGGCCAAACCATAATCCCAGCGGTGTGCCGACTCCATCCACCCTTGAAACGAATCCCGTTGTGACCACTGAAAATTCTTTTTAGCTGTATAACAAGCTTGAAATTTTATTGGATGGCTTATTTAATTCAAATCTGTATTCACCCAATGTACTCTGTTGTTTTAAAAATGGCAACTCCATTCTGTAAACCCTTCAACACGATGTTGTTCCAAAATGTCTTCCCGCCACGGAATTTCCCCGTTGTCGAGATGATTGCAATCTGTAGACAAAAAGATTAAATATATTTTACGCCATCTTTGAATGAAGATTTATCTGAAACTAACAGGCAATGATCCCGCTTGTTCGCATAGACTTTCCAGCAGCGCTCGATTGAAATGAGTTTGTCCTTCCTCATCGATGTCAAAAAGTTGCTCCAAATCAATCTCGATAGCATTAGTCTGAATCAGATGAAGTTGAAGTTAACATTTCTAGATAATCAAATAAATTTATTAGCTTACTTAACCTGAGCCTTTACAGGTTAAGTAAGCTAATAAATCTGTACCTGTTCTTCGATCGAAGCTGCAGCGCTTGTAGCCTCTTCGAACTTGGAGGGTGTAGGTGATACTTCAGCCTGAAAACGTGCACTGAATTTTAAAGTTAAATATGTAAGTACTAGCAAACTTTGGTACTTTAGAGTATCTTGGAGAACTGTGTTTCAATTTTCAAGAGTTACTCTTTAAGAGGCTTTAAAGGAGAGGTCTGAATTCAGGACTGATTCTCGCTAAAACCAAATTCTCGGCAGGTGGTTATAGTTATATAATTTTTGATGAAGTTTCATGTAGAAACGATTAAAGTAAATTGGCTTATCAATAATTTATTGGGTATTAAATGATGAAATCAGCTTTCAGGTCGCTTCAAAAGAACACCTCTTTCTTTCGGGAGCTTTCTTTTGCTTTGTAGATGGCCCCAAAAGAAGATATTCAGCTATCAATTTGAACGTTTACTCGGTCCGAGTTTGAATCCCTCCCTTAGGAAAAGGACTCCTTGGTGCAAAATTGACTTCTCTGTCCAATGCTTCTATAGAGCTACTCCCAATATATTGGGTTGGTGGGTAGAAATATCCGGGTGGCAGACTACTAATAGCCACAACAAAAGCTGCTAAAAGAGCGGGAGAACAAAAAATGAGGAGGCCTGGTTTCACTGAGTTTGGAAAAGTGCTCTTGACTTCTCAGCTTTACGCAAAGCTCCAACTCCGCTTTGCTTACGAGTTTAGGGATCAATCGGAAAAAATAGCGATATTTCATACCTCACCGACCCAATAGGTGAGTTCCATCTTCCAACACACCAGCTCTTATGAGTATTCGGTAACTGGTGTCAATTAAAGGCTGAACAAATGGTTTTTCCGACTAATCTCACACTCGACCCTTCAAATACTTCCTCAGGGAACTGAAACCCTTTGAATTGAAAAAGAGTCCAAATTAGAACTTACCTTGTCTTTTAAAAGATACTCAACTTTATCCAAGGCTTCTTTAACGTTTTTCTGCTTTCCAATTTGTTCAAACAACTTCTAAATCGTTTCAGTTCTAGCTTTTCTTGAACCACTTACATCATAGGCCGCTTGTTTCGCTAGAGCCCTCATTTCATGGGGTTGATCACGAAAATCATCGATCTTCCGTAAATTTTATTAGCTTATTTTTGAAATAACTGCTACTCGTAGTTTCCAAATATCCTTGAACCAAAAATATCAAC